TACTGCTGAGAAAACTGAGAGAAAATAAGAAGATACCTCCATTGAGTGTAGGCAAACAGGCCAATAAATTCAGAGCATTCGCCGACGACCTGATCTGCATAGTAGAAAATCCAAGAGAGCTAGCCAAAGAATGGATGTCGACGATGGAATCATTTGGACAACTAGCGGGCTTTAAAATAAATAAGGATAAAACCAAAATACTGACCAAAAATATGAGTAAAGAAAAACAGGAGACCCTGGCAAAAACTCTAGAAATGCAAATAGTACCAAAAATCAAATATCTAGGGATATACATCTCAGCTAAGAACTCTCAACTATTTAAAAACAATTACGAACTAACCTGGCTTAAGATCACAAAAGATTTGAAAAACTGGACTAATCTAAACATATCATTTCTTGGGAGGATTGCAATCATAAAAATGAACATCCTACCAAGACTCCTCTTTATCTTCCAAAACCTTCCAATTATACAAAGCAATAAAATATTCAACGATTGGAACAAAGAAATAAGACGCTTTATATGGAAAGGAAAGAAACCAAGGATTAAGCAGATCCATATGATTGATGCCACCAGAAGAGGAGGATTGGGCTTACCTGACCTACACTTATATCACGACGCCTGCGGGATCTCATGGATCAAAGACTGGATCCTGCTAGAAAAAGAAAAAACACTAGCCCTAGAAGGACACGACCTAAGAATTGGGTGGCATTCATACCTATGGCGGGACCAAACAAAGAAGGAAAGAAATTTCAACAATCATGCCATAAGAAGACCCCTTTTAAAGATATGGGAGAAATATAAAGACCACCTATACCTCGGGAAAACCCCCATGTGGCTCTCTCCGCTGGAAGGAGAACAAACGCGTCTACTAGGCTGGAGGAGATGGCCCACGTATGAATCATCTACGATTAAAAAAGAAGGAATTTTACAGTTGAAGACAAAAGAAGCTCTATCGAAAGAATTCAAATCCTTCACTTGGCTACACTACTTCCAGCTCAGAGAGCACTTCGTCAAAGATAAAAAAAAAAAAGGCTTCATGGAGAAAGATGACTTTTGGGAAAATATTGTACGAAAAGAGAAGAAAAATATAACATCAATATACAACAAACTACTAAAATGGACAACTGAACAAGAGTTAGTTAAAGACTGCATGACAAAGTGGGCAAAAAACATCGGGAGAACTATAATGCTTAGAGAATGGGAACAGATATGGTCAAAGAAGATCAAATATACTTACTCGTCCACACTAAAAGAGAACTGGTACAAAATGCTGTACCGGTGGTACATGACACCGCAAAAATTGGGTCAAATGTATAAAAACAACTCCACTAAATGTTGGAAATGTAACAACCAGACAGGAACCTTTTTCCACCAATGGTGGTCCTGCCCTGTGACTCAGAGATACTGGAAAAAAGTCAATGAAACTTGCGGGAAAATCCTAAATATGAAGATACAAGGAAAAGCTGAGTACTACCTATTAGGTTTATTTGAAGAAGATTGGGATCTAAGTCCCAACAAAGACATTCTGTTCACATATCTCACAACGGCATCAAGGATAGTTTTTGCGAAGAAATGGAAATCAAAAGAAATACCTTCGGAAGAAGAATGGTTAGAGAAAGTCCTAGAAATTAAAGAAATGGATATGTTAACCTACGCCCTAAAAGATTCATATGGACGCCCACTTAAAAGGACTGACTGGAAACCTCTGAAGGAGTACCTGGAGAGTAACACAAAGACAGAAAAATAAATAAGAGTAGAACAAAACAACCAAGAGATAGAAAAGAACGACAAGGGGTAAACCTTAAAAAACAACGGAACAGAAAAAATGAAAGTGAGAACGCGGAGAAGACGGAGTTGGAAGTCAAACCACCCCAGACCCCCCCCCCCCCCCCCCCCCCGAAACCCTAGATAACTACTGGATAGGGAATACCCTCTCCCCCCTTCTCCCACCCCCCTCCGACCCTACCTCCTGCCCATCCCTCAGACTAACCCTTTTTAACGAGTTCATAGTTAAACCCCTAACCCCCCCCCCCCCACCCTCCTGCTTTTATTTATTGTATTTCATCATTTTAAGAAAGACTACCAAAAAAAAAAAAAACCAGTTGATTCAAGCATGAGAGACACCCTCCTGGGTACACAGAAAATTGGGTGACTTGGAAGGTGCTGAACAGACTGCACTTTGGCACCATGAGATGCAGAGGATTAACATTGCTTCAAAACAGGAGCTTTTTTGTTGAGTTCCAGGGCCAGAGAAGCAGATGGCGGAAACAGAAGAACGGCCTGCCTCAGGGGAGCGTGCTCGCTCCATCCATGTTCAACATCTACACAAATGACCAGCCACTGCCAGAAGGGACAGAGAGTTTCATCTATGCTGATGATCGTGCCATTACCGCTCAAGCAGGGAGCTTTGAGATGGTTGAACAGAAGCTCTCCGAAGCTCTAGGTGCTCTTACTGCCTATTACAGGGAAAACGAACTGATCCCTAATCCATCTAAAACACAGACATGTGCCTTTCACCTTAAGAACAGACAAGCATCCCGAGCTCTGAGGATTACCTGGGAAGGAATCCCACTGGAGCATTGCAGCGCACCCAAATATCTGGGAGTCACTCTGGACCGTGCTCTGACCTACAAGAAGCACTGCCTGAACATCAAGCAAAAAGTGGTGCTAGAAATAATATCATACGAAAGCTGACTGGCACAACCTGGGGATCACAACCAGATACAGTGAAGACATCTGCCCTTGCGCTATGCTACTCTGCTGCTGAGTACGCATGCCCAGTGTGGAACACATCTCACCATGCTAAAACAGTGGATGTGGCTCTTAATGAGACATGCTGCATTATCACAGGGTGTCTGCGCCCTACACCACTGGAGAAATTACACTGCTTAGTCGGTATTGCACCACCTGACATCCGCCGGGAAGTAGCAGCCAATAGTGAAAGGAAGGCAGTGACATCTCCAGCTCATCCCCTGTTTGGGTATCAGCCAGCACGTCAATGACTTAAAACAAGAAATAGTTTTCTAAGATCTACAGAGACACTCGCTGGAACACCTCAGCAAGCGAGAGTTCAAAAGTGGCAGGCTCAAACCCAGCGCATCAATCCGTGGGTGGTACCAAATGAGAGACTCTCCCCTGGGCACACAGAAGACTGGGCGACTTGGAAGGCGCTGAACAGACTGCGCTCTGGCACCACGAGATGCAGAGCCAATCTTAAGAAATGGGGCTACAGGGTGGAATCCTCGGCATGCGAGTGTGGAGAAGAGCAAACCACTGACCACCTGCTGCAATGCAACCTGAGCCCTGCCACATGCACAATGGAGGACCTTCTTGCGGCAACACCAGAGGCACTCCAAGTGGCCAGATACTGGTCAAAGGACATTTAATCAGCTACCAAGTTTGCAAAATTTGTGTGTTTTTTTATATATATATCTGTTTGTTTGTTTTGTTCTGTTAGAAATGTAATACAATGTTCTGGTTGCGGATGACACGATAAATAAATACCGTGAGGCAGAGCCAAACTTAAGAAATGGGGCCACAAAATGGAATCCACGACATGCAAGTGTGGAGAAGAGCAAACTACAGAGCACTTACTACAATGCAGTCTGAGCCCTGCCACATGCACAATGGAGGACTTTCATAGAATCATATGTGGGAGCTCCGGTGGCGCAGTGGGTTAAACCTCTGTGCTGGCAGGACTGAAGACGGACAGGTCGCAGGTTCGAATCCGGGGAGAGGCGGATGAGCTCCCTCTATCAGCTCCAGCTCCTCATGCAGGGACACGAGAGAAGCCTCCCACAAGGATGATAAAAACATCAAAAATCCGGGCATCCCCTGGGCAACGTCCTTGCAGACAGCCAATTCTCTCACACCAGAAGCGACTTACAGTTTCTCAAGTTGCTCCTGACATGACCAAATAGAATCATAGAGTTGGAAGAGACCTCATGGGCCATCCAGTCCAACCCCCTGCCAAGAAGCAGGAATATTGCATTCAAAGCACCCCTGACAGATGGCCATCCAGCCTCTGTTTAAAATCTTCCAAAGAAGGAGCCTCCACCACACTCTGGGGCAGAGAGTTCCACTGCTGAACGGCTCTCACAGTCAGGAAGTTCTTCCTCATGTTCAGATGGAATCTCCTTTCTTGTAGTTTGGAGACACCAGAGGCACTCCATGTGGCCAGCTATGGGTCAAAGGGCATTTAGTACAATGCCATGTTTTTAACTTTGTGGTTTTTGTTTTTTTATGTATTATAAGTGTATTCTCAATTTGCTTCCGGAGCCCCTGATAGCACAATAGGTTGTGTCAGCAGGACTGAAGACAGGGGGTTTGAATCTGGGGAGAGCATGGATGAGCTCCCTCTGTCAACTCCAGCTCTGCATGATGGGACATGAGAGAAGCCTCCCACAAGGATGGCAAAGCGCCATAGAATCATAGAGTTGGAAGAGACCTCATGGGCCATCCAGTCCAACCCCCTGCCAAGAAGCAGGAATATTGCATTCAATGCACCCCCAACAGATGGCCATCCAGCCTCTGTTTAAAAACTTCCAAAGAGGGAGCCTCTACCACACTCCGAAGCAGAGAGTTCCACTGCTGAACGGCTCTCACAGTCAGGAAGTTCTTCCTCATGTTCAGATGGAATCTCCTTTCTTGTCGTTTGAAGCCATTGCATCCTAGTCTCCAGGGCAGCAGAAAACAAGCTTGCTCCCTCCTCCCTATGACTTCCTCTCACGTATTTATACATGGCTATCATATCTCCTCTCAGCCTTTTCTTCTTCAGGTTAAACATGCCCAGCTCCTTAAGCTTCTCCTCATAGGGCTTGTTCTCCAAACCGTCAAAACATCCGGGCATCCCCTGGGCAACGTCCTTGCAGACAGCCAATTCTCTCACACCAGAAGTGACTTGCAGTTTCTCAAGTCACTCCTGACATGAAAAAAATCGCTTCTGACATGATAAATACAATTATTATTGTTGTTATTATTATATTGATTGTTTGTCTACCTTGTTGATGAAGGACCGGAGTGAAGCGAAGACATGCTTCAGGGCAGCCTCCGACTGACCGTTTCGTAGAAAGGCGAGGTGGATGTCGAACACTTTCTTCATCAACGGGTTGTGTCCATCGTTGTTCAAGAGCTGGTTCTGCAAAAGGAGCAAGATGGTTGATTTCCCCCATGAAATAAGGTTAGAAAAGCACCAATATGACATCTTGGACACAGAGCACCAAAACCTGGGTCCAGTTTACAGAAAATGCTCACCTTGAAGCACTGGGTGAAGAAGGAAATGGTGTCCAAGACAGTGAGTGTCACTTCGGTCGCCGTGTTACCCTCTAGCAGAGCCTGGTGCAAGATGTCAGCTTCAGAGGAACCTGGAAGGAAGAAGCCATGCAAAAAGTGATGCTCATATTTCATGACTTGCAATGAGAGGGGAATTGAATAAAAGGCAAAACACTCCGGCCTTTCGGAGAGTTGCTGGTTAGGGTCCTCTTTGGATGAAAGAAACATGTATCACAGCAATCTATATAAATAAAAATGTAAAGTTTGTTTGTGGGATTAACAGAACTCAAAAACCACTGGACGAATTGGCACCAAATTTGGACACAATACACCTACTACCCCAAGGAGTGACCATCACTCAAAAAAAAATATAGTTATAGTCATTTGGGATTCGTAGATGCTGGGATTTACAGTTCACCTACAATCAAAGAGAATTCTGAAACCCACCAACAATGGAATTGAACCAAACTTGGCACATAGGCACATAGGACAGAAAATTCTGGGAGGGTTTGGTGGGCATTGACCTTGAGATTGGGAGTTGTAGTTCACCTACATCCATAGAGCACTGTGGACTCAAACAATGATGAATTTGGACCAAACGTGGCACAAATACTCCATATACCCAAATGTGAACACTGGTGGAGTTAGGGGGAAATAGACCTTAACATTTGGGAGTTGCTGGGATTTATAGTTCACCAACAACCAAAGAGCATTCTGAACCCCACCAACCTCCCACACAGAACCCACACAACCAAAAGAAAATACTGTATTCTGACACCCCCTTGTGACCCTCCCAGGGTCCCAACCCTTAGGTTGAGAAATGCTGCCTTAAGGCCATCCAGTCCAACTCCCTTCATCAGGGAAAGAAAACATAATCAAAGACCTCCTGACAAAGAGCCACCCAGCCATAGATATAGATAGATATATATGATGCATACACACACACTTGTATATGACAGATATAATATCATAGATTTGAAAGCGATCCCTAAAGAAGCACAATTATATATTGCATGTTTCAGAGTAGGCAAGCCAGACACTCTCCACATCAACACTGACAAAGAAACAACAAGAAGTACTGTTTACCCACAAGCATAAAGAAATTACATATATTAGAAACCAACACTTTCTCATTACTTTATTTTCCAGATCACCAGACTGGGCCACAGCAACGCGTGGCAGGGAACAGCTAGTAGCACTATATAACAAAATTTGAAAAATGTTCTGTTTCTGGTTTGAAAGTTATTTCCTATATAATCGTGCAGCCCTGTCTTTGAAAGTAGTTCTTCTACTACAGAAACTTTGTTTATGTTGAATTGGTTGAGACTCGATGAGATATTCATTGGAAAACTATTGCAAAATGTGCTATAGCAGGATGCCCCTCCCACCAAAACAAAGTTTTTGCAGTTTAATAAACCTTCTCCATGTTTTTATGATAGACCCAATTAGGAAATGACATTTACAAACCAGGAACAAAACTTCAAGACCCAGTTTATAGGACTTGATTTGATTTAGGTCCCCATCTGCAAAAGAGGTCTCATAAGAGCAGAATGGAGCTCCTTGCATCAAGTGTGGACAGTGTCTACTGCAATGCACTTTTGTGGCCAAATTACTTGGTGTTTTCGGGCAATCCGTGCTCCCAAACCCAAAAGAAAGCTTTTTCAAATGTGAATGCGCCTGTATAATCATCCTTACAGATATGCTAGAACTTCATATGAGTCCCAAAGACCTGTTTTTCTACTGTTGTCCTTCCCAAATGGCAGCAAGAAGTGATCATAGATAGAATCAGAAGTTGGAAGAGGTCATAAAGCCTATTCAGTATGACCCCTTGGTATGGAGAAGAAACACAATCAAATCACTCCCGACGGATGGCCATCTGGTCTCTGCTTCGAAAGCAATATTCCATGTCGCCCTGCAGTTCAATTTGTGAAGGGTTGCTGAGATGTCCTGAACCTTCATTTTGAGAAGGTCTTCCAAAATGGTTGGAGTGCAACTCCCATCATTTTTTGTCCAGCCATAAACTGCACCAGTATTTTCTGTTGGTCATGGGGGATTCTTCACACCAGATCCATAACTGATGGTAGTCACAAGGCTTTCTTGATGTGTGGGGACTGCAGCTCCCATCATGCTGCAGTTTGGTCCAGATCCATTGTTGGTGGGATTTCACAGGGCTCTCTGGATGTGTGTGGGCCGCCCTTCCCATCATGCTCCATCAGTGTTCCCTCCCAAGTCTTACCAGTATTTAAAGTTGGCCATATTGGGTCTGCTTGCCCAGTTTGGTCCAGATCCGTTGTCAGTGGGAGCCACAATGCTCTCTGGAAGTAGGTAAACTACAACTCCTAGCATCCTGGAATAAGAGTCATTCCCCCAAACCCCTCCATTTTCTCTTGATCATGGGGGGTGGGTGGGTGGGTTCTGTGTGCCAAGTGTGATCCAGATCCATCATGGTGAGCCCCCGGTGGCGAAGTGGGTTAAACCCCTGTGCTGGCAGGACTGAAGACTGACAGGTCGCAGGTTCGAATCCGGGGAGAGGCGGATGAGCTCCCTCTATCAGCTCCAGCTCCTCATGCGGGGACATGAGAGAAACCTCCCACAAGGATGATAAAAACATCAAATCATCCGAGCGTCCCCTGGGCAACGTCCTTGCAGACGGCCAATTCTCTCACACCAGAAACAACTTGCAGTTTCTCAAGACGCTCCTGACACGACAAAAAAAAAAAATCCTTGGGAGTCACAGGCTCTCTGGAAGTGGCTGAACTATAACTCCCAAAGTTGCTGGGAGTCACAGTATTCTCTAGAATTGGGAGTCATATTGGAAACCATACCCACATACCTACAAACGTTGACTTTTATTATACACAGGAATAGATACAGATTGATAGATATTTACAACATACTGTGATTCAGCGTGAATGAGCTGTCAAGGCTGCCGAGATGCTGAAGCCGGGTTTGGATGGCTCCTGGCCTGCTCCGAAGCGCTGGCATCGTCTGGGATTTCCGGTCAATGGCCGTGAGCTTGGACAGCCAAGCATCATGGACCCTGGAAAAGTCATATAGGGCATTTAGAAGGAGACAAGCCTGTTTTCTATTATACCCAACCAATGGACAATCTCAGTTATGGGCCAACTCCGGCCCTCCAGGTGTTTTGGACTTCAACTCTCACAATTCTTACAGCCTCAGGCCCTTTCCCTTTTCCCCTCAGCCGCTTAAGCGACTCCATCCTATATACAGAAACCCTCCAATTATTCAATGGGTTAGGGACCACCAAACGTGAGAAAACTGAAGTCTCCTGAAAGTTACCGCAATGGAGACAAAAGAGAACACTGCCCCCTAGAGGGCTTGGAGATATTTTGCTTTAGAACAGTGTTTCTCAACCTGGGGGTCGGGACCCCTGAGGGGGTCGCGAGGGGGTGTCAGAGGGGTCGCCAAAGACCATAAGAAAACACAGTATTTTCTGATGGTCATGGGGATTCCATGTGGGAAGTTTGAGCCAATTCTATGGTTGGTGGAGTTCAGAATGTTCTTTGATTGTAATGAACTATAAATCCCAGCAACTACAACTCCCAAATGTCAAGATCTATTTTCCCCGGACTCCACCAGTGTTCACATTTGGGCATATTGAGTATTTGTGCCAAGTTTGGTCCAGATCCACCATTGCATGAGTCCACAGTGCTCTCTGGATATAGGTGAACTACAACTCCCAAACTCAAGGTCAATGCCCATCAAACCCTTCCAATGTTTTCCATTGGTCATGGGAGCCAAGTTTGGTTCAAATCCATCGCTGGTGGAGTTCGGAATGCTCTTTGATTATAAGTGAACTATAAATCCTAGCAACTACAACTCCCAAATTACAAAATCAATCCTCCCCCAACCCCACTAGCATTCACATTTGGGTGTATTGGGTATTTGTGCCCAGTTTGGTCCAGTGAATGAAAATGCATCCTGCATATCAGATATTTACATTATGATTTATAACAGTAGTAAAATGACTGTTATGAAGTAGCAATGAAAACAATATTATGGTTGGGGGTCACCACAACATGGGGGACTGTATTAAGGGGTCACGGCATTAGGAAGGCTGAGAACCATTGCTTTAGAAGATCCAAAATAAACATAAAAATAAAGGTTTTCCCCTGACATTAAGTCCAGTCATGTCCTAGGGTGTGGTGCTCATCTCCATTTCTAAGCCGAAGAGCCGGCGTTGTCCGTAGACACCTCCAAGGTCATGTGGCCGGCATGACTACATGGAGCGCCGTTACCTTCCCACTGGAGTGGTACCTATTGATCTACTCACATTTGCATGTTTTCGAACTGCTAGGTTGGCAGAAGCTGGGACTGACAGCGGAAGCTCATGCTGCTCCCCAGGAATTGAACCTGCAACCTTTCGGTCAACAAGCTCAGCAGCTCAGCGGTTTAACCTACTGCGCCAACGGGGGCTCCAAACATACATACATACGTTATTTAATTTATGATGATGAATAATACCTGGCAATGTTTCTTTTCCCCACATATCTGAAGTGAAAGAGACAGACTCTGGAGTGAGAAAAAGAAAGAGAGAGAAGAACGAGTTCAAACTAAGATCATAAGTGTCAAGAAAGCACCTATGCTGCAAATAAATATTTATTATATGTAATATTTATTTTCTATATATTATAATATAATATAATATAATATAATATAATATAATATAATATAATATAATATAATATAATATATATTACTAGCAGTCCCCTGCCACGCGTTGCTGTGGCCCACATGGGGGTTCTGTGTGGGAGGTTTGGCCCAATTCTATCGTTGGTGGGGTTCAGAATGCTCTGTGATTGTAGGTGAACTATAAATCCCAGCAACTACAACTCCCAAATGTCAAGATTCTATTTTCCCCAAACTCCACCAGTGTTCACATTTGGGTATATTGAGTATTCGTGTAGAGTTTGGTCCAGATCCATCATTGTTTGAGTCCACAGTGCTCTCTGGATGTTGGTGAACTACAACTCCCAAACTCAAGGTCAATGCTCACCAACCCCTTCTAGTGTTTTCTGTTGGTCATGGGAGTTCTGTGTGCCAAGTTTGGTTCAATTCCATCATTGGTGGGGTTCAGAATGCTCTTTGATCGTAGGTGAACTATAAATCCTAGCAACTACAACTCCCAAATGACAAAATCAATTTGTTTTGAATGATGGACACTCCTTGGATTTGTAAGTGTCTTGTGTCCAAATTTGGTGTCAATTTGTCCAGTGGTTTTTGAGTTAAGTTAATCCCACAAACGGACATTACATTTTTATTTATATAGATACTAGCTGTACCCGCCACGTGTTGCTGTGGCCAACCTTCCCTCCCTTTTTCTCTCCTTCTTTCTCTCCTTCCTTTGCTCCTTCTTTCCTTTATTCCTTATGTTTTCTTCTTTCCTTCTCTCCTTCCTTCCTTCTCTACCTCTTTCCTTCCTTCCCTTTTTGCTTCCACCCTTCCTTCTCTCTTTCCTTCTTCCCTTCCCTCCCTCTTTCTCTTCTTCTTCCCCTCCTCTGCCTTCACTCCCTCTTTCTTTCCTTCCCTTTTCTTTATTTCTTTCTCTCCTTCCTTTGCTACCTCATTCCTTCCTTCCCCCCTTTTCTTTTCCTACTACTTTCTCTCCTTCCTTCCCTCTCTACCTCTTTCCTTCCTTCCTTTGCTCTTTGCTTCCATGCTTCCTTCTCTCTTTCCTTCTCTCTTGCCCTCCCTCCCTTTCTTTCTTTCTTTCATTCATTCTTTCTCCCCTTCCTTCCCTCCCTCTTCTTTCCATTTTTTCTGTATGTCATTTAGCTTTTTTGGGTTTTTAAAGTCCTTTCTGCTGTTTGGGGTTTTTTTTATGAGTGATGGTCACTCGTTGGCCTGAGCGGTGTCTTGTGTCCAAATTTGGTTATGTTATGTTAATCCCACAAACGAACATTACATTTTTATTTATATATATTATATTATATTATATTATATTATATTATATTATATTATATCGTATCATATTATATTATATTATATTATATGGTTTTTCAACTCCAAATCCATTAGAAAATGAACTGATCATGGCATTCCAACTCTTCGGAGTATCTCAATTTTTCATCCACATATACAATGAATAAATAGAAAAACCAAACTTACTCCAAGAGGACAAGGACATTCATGAGATCCTGAGGCGCTATTTTGTTCCAGTAGGTTAACAAGGTATCTGAGGTTGAAAAGAAACAATACTGCTTGGTTTCCACCTTGGAATCATAGGATTACTGAGTGCTAAGGCACCCCAAAGACAGTCTAGTCTAACCTCATTGACCGTTAAAGCAAAAGATGGACCTCCAACTTTGAGAGCCTCCAGCAGAGAAGAAGACCTTCCCAAGGTAATCTATTCCACTGTCAAACATTCCTTAATGGAAAGGACCACCTTTTTCAAATAATGGAAGACTTTACATTTTGGAACGCTTGATTGGCAACCTTTGGTTTGGTTTTGACCCGTTTGACTCAACAGCACCACCACGATAATGGCTGGAAAAGGTATTGCAGCTGTTTCCTATTTGCGTCTTGTTTTTAAAGAGGGATTTTGTTGAGCCCAAAATCACCCATGGGGATTCAACATATGGCAAAAATATGGAAATATACAAATCCACATATCTATAATTTATTTTCAAATATTAATGACGGGGGGTTCCTAGAGTCACAAAAGCGGTCTGAAAACTTCCTACGGCCCATAGCGTACATTCAGTTTACTCCTGTGCTATGCAGGAATAAAAAGGAGGGGAAGGAGGTGTTGCAACCCAGATCAGGAAACAAGACCATAAGATTAAATCCACCACACTTGACTGTGGGAAAAACAATCCTATTTATGGTTACAAAATAGAGGAAAATGCAAAGTTAAAAAGCCACAGTAAAACTCGGCAGTCAGGAAAATCTCTGAACTAGATCCAAAGTCCAAAAGCAACACTATAGAAAGCCTGGAACCTGTTAGTATCTCACTAACCGTACTTGAAACTAGAAGCCTCTGGGAATGCAGGCCATGGGAAATGGGAACTCAGCCAAGGTAATGCCTCAGTCTAAACGATGCTTGATCTGACAAGACAGCCCGGGGGGAGACACTTTAAACTAAAGAAACTGTTTCGGGACACGCCTCCAGGCTTGGAAGCCTCCTTCTGCTTTAATCTACTTGACCTTCGCAGACTCTGTAATTCACTCCCTTTGAGATGGTAGAACAGAAGCTCTCCGAAGCTCTAGGTGCTCTTACTGCCTATTACAGGGAAAACCAACTGATCCCTAATCCATCTAAAACACAGACATGCGCCTTTACCTTAAGAACAGACAAGCATCCCGAGCTCTGAGGATTACCTGGGAAGGAATCCCACTGGAGCATTGCAACACACCCAAATACCTGGGAGTCACTTTGGACCGTGCTCTGACCTACAAGAAGCACTGCCTGAACATCAAGCAAAAAGTGGGCGCTAGAAACAACATCATACGAAAGCTGACTGGCACAACCTGGGGATCACAACCAGACACCGTGAAGACATCTGCCCTTGCGCTGTGCTACTCTGCTGCTGAGTATGCATGCCCAGTGTGGAACACATCTCACCACACTAAAACAGTGGATGTGGCTCTTAATGAGACATGCCGCATTATCACGGGGTGTCTGTGCCCTACACCATGGGAGAAATTACTGCTTAGCTGGTATTGCACCACCTGACATCCACCGGGAAGTGGCAGCCAATAGTGAAAGGACCAAGGCAGAGACATCTCCAGCTCATCCCCTGTTTGGGTATCAGCCAGCACGTCAACGACTTAAATCAAGACATAGTTTTCTTAGATCTACAGAGACACTCGCTGGAACACCCCAGCAAGCGAGAGTCCAAAAGTTGCAGGCCCAAACCCAGCACCTCAATTCATGGGTGATACCAGATGAGAGACTCCCCCCTGGGCACTCAGAAGACTGGGCGACTTGGAAGGTGCTGAACAGACTGCACTCTGGCACCACGAGATGCAGAGCCAACCTTAGAAATGGGGCTACAGGGTGGAATCCACGACATGCGCGTGTGGAGAAGAGCAAACCACTGACCACCTGCTGCAATGCAACCTGAGCCCTGCCACATGCACAATGGAGGACCTTCTTGCGGCAACACCAGAGTTATCACCGCTTGACTCTGAAACATCCTCATCAGGATGTTTAGTTTCACTTTCCCATCCACTGCCCTCAGAATCAACCGTTTCCAAACCATCAGGGAAAAATACATGTTCAGTTGCATCAGGAAATACAATCATAGAATCAGGTTCAGGTTAACACGGAGGCTGAGGGTCAGGCTCACACGGAGGCTGAACCCCAACAGGAGGAGACAACAACAACTCATAGTTTAGAGTCCTGTCAAAGTAACTGACCTTCTGAAATCATTTTAATGATGTAAAGGAAGCAGACGAGGAGGCTCCGGATCTCATAGGGGTCCAGCCGCCCGAACTGGGAGATGCTGCTGCGAGTGGAGCTTCTTCGCATCTGAATGAAACAACAACAACCTGTTTACTTGAGTCTAATACTCAACTTTTTGTCCTAATGACCTTGCCAAAATTAAGATGCGAATTAGATTCGCATCATACGGTGATCTTAGCGTTGAGGCAAAGCAAAAGGGGAATCTGCTTCTTTGAGGAACCTCATCTCTAATTTAATGTCTCAGTGCTATGGGATTTGTAGTTTGGTGAAGCTACATTCTTCAGTAGAGAAAGCTCAAGGCCTTGTAAAAATACAACCTCCAGGATTCCACAGCATTGAACCAAGGCAATTAAAGTGCATTCATTCTACGGAGACTTATCCTGCACAGAATTATAGAAAAATAGACCCATGTATGATCCCACAACAAGCTGGTTTTAGGTAAAGGTAAAGGTTGTCCCCTGACATTACGTCCAGTCGTGTCTGATTCTGGGGTGTGGTGCTCATCTCAATTTTTAAGCCAAAGAGCCAGCGTTGTCCATAGACATCTCCAAGGTCATGTGGCCGGCATGACTGCATGGAACGCCATTACCTTCCCGCCGGAGCGGTACTTATTGATGTGCTCAAATTTGCATGTTTTTGAACTGCTAGGTTGGCAGAAGCTGGGGCTGACAGCAGAAGCTCACACCGCTCCCCGGAATCGAACCTGCGACCTTTCAGTCAACAAGCTCAGCAGCTCCACGCTTTAACCCACTGCACCACCGGGGGCTTAGGAAAGGGAAAAACTGCACATCACAAGTGCTGAGCTTGACTCAGCACATAGAAGATAGTTTTGAAAGAAAGCAGATTACAAGAGCTGTCTTCATAGACCTGTCAGCAGCTTATGATATTGTAAATCTTTGCTTCCTCCTGAAAAAAAATGTATAATATCACAAAGGACTGCCAGCTCACCCGCTTCATAGGAAATCGGCTACAAAACAGGAGCTTTTTTGTTGAGTTTCATGGTTAGAGAAGTAAATGGCAAAAAGAGAAGAACGGCCTGCCTCTGGGGAGCATGCTTACCCCATCAATGTTTGACATGTACACAGATGACCAGACACTGCTAGAAGGGACAGAGAATTTCATCTATGCTGACGATCGTGCCAACACCACTCAGGCAGGGAGCTCTGAAATGGTTGAACAGAAGCTCTCCAAAGATTTAGGTGCTCTTACTGCCAATTACAGGGAAAAACAGCTGATTCCTAATCTATCTAAAATACAGTCATGTGCTTTTCCCCTTAAGAACAGACAAGTATCTTGAGCTCTGAGGATCACCTGGGAAGGAATCCCACTGGAGCATTGCAGCACACCAAAGCACCTGGGAGTCACTCTGGACCATGCTCTGACTTACAAGAAGCACTGCTTGACTATCAAGCAAAAAGTGGGTGCTAGAAACAATATCATACGAAAGCTGACTGGAACAACCTGGGGATCAACCAGACACAGTAAAGACATCTGCTCTTGTGCCTTGCTACTCTGCTGCTGAGTATGCATGCCCAGTGTGGAATACATCTCACCACGTTAAAACAGTGGATGTTGCTCTTAATGAGACATGCCGCATTGGCACAGGATGTCTACACCCAACATCACTGGAGAAAGTACACTGTTTAGCTGGTGGATCACCAGACATCCGTCGGGAAGTAGCAGTCATAGAATCATAGGATCATAGAGTTAGAAGAGACCCCATGGGCCATCCAGTCCAACCCCCTGCCAAGAAAGAGGAAAATTGCATTCAAAGCACCCCCCCCCCAACAGATGGCCATCCAGCCTGTTTAAAACCTTCCAAAGAAGAAGCCTCCACCACACTCCGGGGCAGAGAGTTCCACTGCTGAACGGCTGTCACAGTCAGGAAGTTCTTCCTCATGTTCAGATGGAATCTCCTTTCTTGTTGTTTGAAGCCATTGTTCCATGTCCTAGTCTCCAGGGAAGCAGAAAACAAGTTCGCTTTCTCCTCCCTATGATTTCCTCTCACATATTTATACATGGCTATCATGTCTCCTCTCAGCCTTCTCTTCTTCAGGCTAAACATCCCCAGCTCTTTAAGCCGCTCCTCATAGGGCTTGTTCTCCAGACCCTTGATCATTTGAGTCACACTCCTCTGGACACATTCTAGCTTATCAATATCTCTCTTCAATTGTGGTGCCCAGAATTGGACAGAATATTCCAGGTGTGTCTAACCAAGGAATATTGTGTCAGCAATGAAAGAACCGAGGTATTGACATCTCCGGCCCATCCTCTGTTTGGATATCAGCCAGCAAACCAATGCTTTAAATAGCTTCCTAAGATCTAGAGAGATACTTGTAGGAACAGCTCAGCAAGCAAGAGTCCAAAAGTGGCAGGCTAAAACCCGAAACTTCAATCAGAGGCTGAGACCGGAGAAACTCCCTCCTGGGAACACAGAAGATTGGGTGACTTGGAAGGTGCTGAACAGACTGCGCTCTGGCACCACGAGATACAGAGCCAACCTTGAGAAATGGGGCTACAAAGTGAAGCCCACAGCATGCTAGTGTGGAGAAGAGCAAACCACAGACCACTTACTACAATGCAGTCTGAGCCCTGCCACATGCACAATGGAGGACCTTCTCACAGCGACACCAAAGGCACTCCAAGTGGCCAGCTTCTGGTCAAAGGAAATTTAGTATAATGCCAAGTGTTTAACTCTGTTTGTGGTTTTTCTATGAGCTGACACAATAAATAAAGGTGCGCATTAGATTTGATGGTACCTGTTAGATTCGATGGTACCTGTGCATTAGATTCGATGGTACCTCCCTTTTAGGAAGAGTTTCAGGGAACACCAAAGCTTTCCTGGCATTTTGGAGAGTATCCAAACTGCAAAATCCCACTCTTGAGTTCTGTCTTTCAAATACGTGGGCGATACAACACATCCCGCCTTGAACGACAACTCTATCCAGGCAGGATAATGCAATGGCACCAACGATCCCAATGCTCCGGAGATGGAAAGGAGGCTTACGTTTTCATTTTGGTCCGGAGAGGTGGCCCCTCCGTCCGAGCTGAGAGACCCTTTGGAGTCATCCCTCTTGAGGCTGAGGCCGTTCTGGAGAGAGCCGCCATAGACTGAAATAAAATCGGAGAGAAGGGATGTAAACATAGGTTCCCAGGAGTTCTGTTTTGAATGGAATAGCTTTAGAATAGGCATGAGCAAACTTGGACTCCAATTCCCACCATTCCTAACAGCCTCAGGCCCTTTCCTTTCCCCCCTCAGCCGCGTTAGGAAAACGCAACCGAAGCCATAAAGGAAGACACAACCGAAGCTCTCCCAACAGATGGCCATCCAGACTGCTTAAAAACCTCCAGAGAAGGAGGCTTCACCAAGTGAGGCAAAATGTTCCAAGTCCAACTGAATTGGGGGAGATATTAACAGAAGACACTTATGAGGGTCTGAATGCTTACGTGGGTCTTTATCGACCAGGAGGCTGGACCTGTTAGACGGCGAGGCAAAATTGCACATGAATTCTTCTCTGGATGCCTGGAGGTGAAAGAACAGAAGAAGGAGAAGAAGTCAGAAGAGATAATGGGCTAGAACCCTATTGTTGACTCTGGTTGGTATTTGTGGGAGCTTTCTTTTTGGGTAAATCAAAAAGCAGTCCATTTGGGCTATAAAGGAATCCATAGCACACTATGTCTAGGGTTGCATCTAAAGTGTCAACTTAACACTGTTTGGCACCACTTTAACTGGTTCACTGCAATGGAATCATAGGGAGTTTTGCAAGGTCTTGAGTCTTCTCTGCCCAAAAGAGCTGGTGCTGCACCGAAATACAGCATACTTACAATACTTTATATATTGCTATATAATACATATGTATTTCATAATATCTAACTATAATATATTATAAAACATATAATATATATATATATATATATATATATATATATATATATATATATATAATATAAAATATAATTACAATATTTTATATATTACTGTTATATAGATTACTATATAATATGTTACTATTATATATTACTATATAATACAAATTAAATAGACTCATAGAATAGACTTGGAAGGGACAGTTGAGAAGTAAGGAGAGAAGGAGGGAAAGAGGGAAGGAATGAAGGAGGGAAAGGGGGAAGGAAGGAGAGAAGGAGGGAGGGATAGAAAGAAGGAGAGAAGGAGAGGAAGGAAAACGAAAAGTATAGAAGGAAGGAAGATGAGAAGGAAATAAAAAAATGACAGGAAAGAGAGAGGGAAGGAAGAAGAGAAGGAACGAAAGACAGAAAGAGGGAGGGAAGGAAGGAAAGAGAGAAGGAAGGATGTAACCGAAGAACGAAGAAAGGGAGGAAAGAAAGAGGTAGAGATGGAAAAAAGAAGAAGAGAAATAGAATGACAAGAAAAAGAGGGAAGGAAGGAAAGAGGGAGGGAAGGAGGGAGAGAAAGAGGGAAGGAATGAAGGAGGGAAAGGGGGAAAGAAGGAGAAAAGAAAGAAAGAAAGAAAGGTAGAAAGGTAGAGATGGAAGGAAGGAGAGAAGGAAATAAAAAAGTGAAAGAGGGAAGGAACGAAAGACAGAAAGAGGGAGGGAAGGAAGAAAAGAGAAGGAAGGATAACCAAAGAGAAAGAAGAAAGTGAGAAAAGAAACAGGTAGAGACGGAAGAAAGAAGAAGAGAAATAGAAGGGCAAGAAAAAGAAAAAGGAAGGAAAGAGGGAAGGAAGGATGAAGAAAGGAAGGAAGAGAAAGAGGGAGGGATAGAAAAATACATTAAATAAATTATGCCATTAAGGAAGCTATTCCGAAGTTTCAGAAAGTTTTGAATTATTTTTTCAAAAGGAAGTGACTTTAGAATCGAATCACCAGCGCCCCCTACAACTGAAATGAGTTTTTGAACCATTTTTAAAATCAACCAAGCCTAGACATTACCCAGTGTAGTCAGATGATGAGAAATAAGATTTCAATGAAATATTACCTGATGATAAGATCTTTTCAACAGTAGAATGGTCTACCTCATAATCGTTATAGCTCTTAATATATGTGGTGAAGATATTGTATAAAATTGTCTTCCACATCCTAAGATATTTAGCACTGAAGCATTGGACTAGACGGAGGGGGAGCATGGAAAACTGCCATGCAGACGCCTAAAATGTATGGTAATTAAGGAAATGATAATTAAGATGTACCAGATAACAAATAATTATTCAAGAAACATTTATAGATTTAATAAATATAATAAAAATATAATGGAGAAGGAAAGAGGTTAGGCATCTATATTTTCTGTGCAAGTAAATATTTAATTAATTAATTATTTATTGGGGGGTGGATTAGGGTTTGTAACCTGTATATGATGTAAAATTTTTATTTATAGAAATAGGAGATAATTATGATTAAGTAAAAGAAAATTATATTAAGTAAGAAGGTTTCATTACTTGACTTTTAAAGATATATTAATTGAAGAAGATATTAAATAAAGACATACATATATATACTATTAAATTAAAAATCAATACATTTTAGGCAATAAGGTAGATTATAAGTTTAGTAAATAAAATAAATTCTGTCTGGGAATCTGTAGAAGATATAATTTCAATAAAATATTTAATTAATGTATAATTTATTTAATTAGAAATTAACATTAAAATTTTTTATCATTTGTTTAAAATAAGATAGGATATAAATATTTTAATGATAGAAAAATATATATAATTGCACTAGCAATAATATAAAATTAAGTAATATATAATTAATAAAAGATTTAAATTAAATAAATATTTAGCAATGCAAACTACTACTCATTGAAGAAATTATATTTATTTATTTATTTATTTATTTATTAATTTATTTTATTGTATTTGAATTAATTAATTAATTACTTAGATTAATTAATAATTAATAATTAATGAATTAATGAATTAATTATTAATCAATTATTTTATGCTTTTTAACCCAAATAACAATAAATTATTAAATTAACAGGTATATATTTAATAAATATATATACATAAATATTTCATAAAAATATTTTAATATTGTAAATGATTTTAAATAACTAAGAAAGAGGAAGGCTGGCCACAGCAACGCATGGCAGGTACAGCTAGTATGTATATAAATATTGTATACATAAATATTATAAATATTGTTTATAATAATAGTAAACACTGTGACAGCTAACATTCCAGCTGTGAACTGAGAAGGCCCTTTGAAGGCATCTCAAATCAACTTGTGGTGATAGCCAGAGGCTCCCAGGTCTGTATGGGAATCTGTTCCGGTTTTTAGTCCGAACTTTCAGGACACTGAATTCTAATTGGGAGAAGATTCAGATCCTTTCAAACTAAGTCTCAAGCAAAACTCACCATTACGATAGTATCAGGCCCTGTCTGCACTGCCATTATAATGCAGATTGAACTGGATTATTATATGGCAGTGTAGACGCATATAATCCAGTTCAGTCTTATTGTACAATTCCCAGGTTCTGCTTTGAACCTTTGTAGTCCACCCTCCCGAAAAGCAAAGCACAATCCTTGCGCGCATCTACAGCAGGCATGGGCAAACTTCGGTCCTCCAGATGTTTTGGACTTCAACTTAAGCAGATGAAGGGGAAAAGGAAGGGGCCTGAGGACAGGAATTGTGGGAGTTGACGTCCAAAATACCTGGAAGGGGAGGCAAAAGGAGGTGGAAAAGACCATTTATGCCCTGCTGGTGACCTTTCCAGAAGGACGGGCTGAAGAACAACAGCTGGATCAAAAGAGACCCACGAGTTGCATGAAACCAGATTGTTTTTCAACTCAGAATAATTAATTTGCATGCTTTCCCCATGAAAACAGTTCAGACGGAAACCATATTGAGAATGGCAGGCACATTGAGACCCAGGACTTTTGCCTCCTCTTGGCCTGGAAATTACCAACAAGCAGCACCATCAACGTTGACACTGGTGTGAATGTGCATATGTATGATAACATAGAAGAAATAAAGAAAAAATACAGAAAATATAAAAGAAAGACTTAGTTATCTCAATGCATCCAGGACAATGTTGAGAGAGTCGATCTATGGCCCCATCTGCACTGCCGTATAATGCAGTTTGAACTGGATTATATTGCCAGTGCAGAATTCTTTAATGAAGTCTGAACTGGATTATATGAGTCTAAGCAATGACAACTCCCAAATGTCAAGATTATATTTTCCCCAAACTCCACTAGTGTTCACATTTGGGCATATTGAGTATTCATGTAGAGTTTGGTCCAGATCCATCATTGATTGATCCATCATCCAAAACCAAAGGACACTGCCCACCAAACCCTTCCAGTATTTTCTGTTGGTCATGGGAGAACTGTGTGCTAAGTTTGGTTCAATTCCATCATTGGTGGGGTTCAGAATGCTCTTTGATTGTAGATGAACTATAAATCCCAGCAACTACAACTCCCAAATGACAAAATCAGTTTTTTTAGTGGACATATATTGGGTTGTTAGGTGTCTTGTGTCCAAATTTGGTGTCAATTCGTCCAGTCGTTTCTGAGTTCTGTTAATCCCACAAACGAAGATTACATTGGGTTGTTGTAGTTTTTTCGGGCTATATGGCCATGTTCTAGAGGCATTCTCTCCTGACGTTTTGCCTGTATCTATGGCAATCATCCTCAGAGGTAGTGAGGTCTGTTGGAACTAGGAAAATGGGTTTATATATCTGTGGAAAGACCAGGGTGGGACAAAGGACTCTTGTCTGCTGGAGCTAGGTGTGAATGTTTCCACTGACCACCTTGATTAGCATTTGATAGTCTGGCAGTGCCTGGAGCAATCTTTTGTTGAGAGGTGATTAGTTGTGCCTGATTGTTTTCCCTCTGCTGTTTTGCTGTTTTAATTTTAGAGTTTTTTAATACTGGAAGATTACATTTTTATTTATATAGATAGATATGATATGCATTTGGGAAGGATGACTCACCGAATTGGACATGGCGTTGCAAGAGGACAGCGTGTCCCGTCCAGCCAAGCGCTGGATGTTATCCAAAAGGAGTCCAGCCAGAGGCAGATACAGCTGAGCAATCTTGGCTTGTTGGTTCTGTCAAAGAAAGAAAGCAAGAGAAGAAAAAGTAATGGAGGAGTCAACAGCTGAGGTGACAAAAGCGGACAACCGAGAGCCAAACAAAAGATGGGAGAAAAGATGTCTTTAGGGCAGTTTTCTTTCGAAATATACACAACTGAGCATTTATGGCTCGGGGGGGAAACATGACTGTTTCCAGATGTTGTTGGGATTGCAAATTCCGGAATCCCCCACCATTGGTTAAGTCATGTGCAGAGCCAAACATGTGCAAAGCCATTCCATATTCATAGCACTGGAGGGGAGATTTAACCATTTCCTCCTATCTTTTGAACCCACAAAATAGAAATGAATGCATGCAATGGAGGCTTGGGTGAGAAAAAGACAAGATACCAGGACAAGAGGCTATCTATTCTTGCTATCTATCTATCTATCTATCTATCTATCTATCTATCTATCTATCTATCTATCTATCTATCCATGAACCCATCATCTATCAATCTCTCTCTCTCCCTCTCCCTCTCCCTCCCCATTATTTATTTGCTTCATTGCCACACAGGTAAACACTAAACACATCTCATCAAAACTTTAAGATCATCTGGAGAGGCCCTGCTCTCGGTCCCACCATCATCACAAGTATGGTTGGTGGGAACAAGAGACAGGGCCTTCTCAGTGATGGCCTCTCGGCTATGGAACACCCTTCCTAGGGAGATTAGATCAGCTTCCTCGCTCCTATTATTTCGGAAAAATCTTAAGACATGGCTATTTGAGCGGGCATTTGAAAATACGAAGTAACGGATATAATAACGGAATAACTATACGGCGGAACTGGACATTGTTTTAATGATTATCGATTGAAGTATGTTTCATTATAATGCTTGATTTTATTGTTGCAGATGTTTTTTATATTGTATATTGCAATTGTGTCCTTGGTGGCATTGAATTCTTGCCTTGTAAACCGCCTCGAGTCGCCGGAAGGCTGAGAGGGCCGGTATAGAAATGTACTAAATAAATAAACAAACAATCTAAACATATAAGCAATTGAAGCACATATCAATCAATTAAACAGATTAAAACCATATAAAATGCCGAGTCGTAATCTCCACCCATCCATTCATTCATCTATCCTGCTTGCCTCTCTCTCTCTCTCTCTCTCTCTCTCTCTCTCTCTTTCTACCTCCTATCTATGTATGTATCTGTCTAATCTATTCACCTTCCTATTTATCCATTTCTTTAACTCTCTCCCTCAAGCACATCCCTCCCCTCCATCTATCCATCTATCCTCTCTCTTTCTTTTTCTCTCTCCACCCATCCATCCATCCACTCTTTCTGTCCGTCCGTCTGTCCGTCTGTCCGTCCGTCCGTCCATCCATCCATCCATCCAGTCCAACCATCAAACTGACTCTCTATCTATTCATGTATTTAACTATCTCAGTCTGTCTATCTATCTATCTATCTATCTATCTATCTATCTATCTATCTACCTACCCACCCACCTCCCTCTCTCTCTATCCATCCATCCATCCATGAATCCATCATCTATCAATCTCTCTCTCTCCCTCTCTCTCTCCCTCCCTCTCCATCCATCCATCCATCCATCCATCCATCTATCAATCTGTCTCTCTCTCCCTCCCTCCCTCTCCATCCATCCATCCATGAATCCATCATCTATCAATCTCTCTCCCTCTCTCTCTCCCCCCCTCCCTCTCTATCCATCCATCCATGAATCCATCATCTATCAATCTCTCTCCCTCCCTCTCCATCCATCCATGAATCCATCATCTATCAATCTCTCTCTCTCCCTCCCTCCCTCCCTCTCCATCCATCCATCCATCCATCCATCCATCTATCAATCTGTCTCTCTCTCCCTCCCTCCCTCTCCATCCATCCATCCATGAATCCATCATCTATCAATCTCTCTCCCTCCCCTCCCTCTCCATCCATCCATGAATCCATCATCTATCAATCTCTCTCTCTCCCTCCCTCCCTCCCTCTCCATCCATCCATCCATCCATCCATGAATCCATCATATTTCTCTCTCTCTCCCTCCCTCTCTCCCTCTCCATCCATCCATGAATCCATCATCAATCTCTCTCTCTCCCTCCCTCTCTCCTTCCCTCTCCATCCATCCATGAATCCATCATATTTCTCGCTCGCTCCCTCCCTCTCTCCCTCTCCATCCATCCATCCATGAATCCATCATCTATCAATCTCCCTCCCTCCCTCCCTCCCTCTCCATCCATCCATGAATCCATCATCTATCAATCTCTCTTTCTCTCTCCCTCCCTCTCCATCCATCCATCCATCCATCCATCCATCCATCCATGAATCCATCATATTTCTCTCTCTCCCTCCCTCTCTCCCTCTCCATCCATCCATCCATGAATCCATCATCTATCAATCTCCCTCCCTCCCTCCCTCCCTCTCCATCCATCCATCCATCCATCCATCCATGAATCCATCATATCTCTCCCCCCCTCTCTCCCTCTCCATCCATCCATCCATGAATCCATCATCTATCAATCTCCCTCCCTCCCTCTCCATCCATCTATCCATCCATGAATCCATCATCTCTCTCCCTCTCCCTCTCCATCCATCCACCCATCCATCCATCCATGAATCCATCATCTATCAATCTGTCTCTCTCTCCCTCCCTCCCTCTCCATCCATCCATCCATGAATCCATCATCTATCAATCTCCCTCCCTCCCTCTCCATCCATCTATCCATCCATGAATCCATCATCTCTCTCTCTCTCTCTCTCCATCCATCCACCCATCCATCCATCCATGAATCCGTCATCTATCAATCTCTCTCTCTCTCTCACCCACCCTCTCCATCCATTCCATGAATCCATCATCTATCAATCTCTCTCCCTCCCTCCCTCCCTCTCCATCCATGAATCCATCATCTATCAATATCTCTCTCTCTCTCACCCACCCTCTCCATCCATTCCATGAATCCATCATCTATCAATCTCTCTCCCTCCCTCCCTCTCCATCCATGAATCCATCATCTATCAATCTCTCTCTCTCTCACCCACACTCTCCATCCATTCCATGAATCCATCATCTATCAATCTCTCTCCCTCCCTCCCTCTCCATCCATCCATCCATGAATCCATCATCTCCCTCCCTCTCTCTCTCCCTCTCCATCCATCCATCCATCCATCCATCCATTCATCTGTCCTGCCTGTCTGCTTATTTCTCTCTTTCTCTATACCTTTCTATCTCCTATCTATGCATCTGTCTGACTAATCTATCCACCTGCTTATTTATCTGTCTGTTTAACTCTCTCTCTCAGACACATCCCTCCCCTCCTGGCCATCCATCTATCCACCTCTCTCTTTCTCTCTCTCTCTTTCCATCCATCTATCTATCTATCTATCTATCTATCTATTTATTCAACCATCCATCCACCTGCCTCTCTATTCATGTATTTAACTACCGTATCTCCGTCTATCTATCTACCTATTTATTTATCTGCCCACCTCCCTCCCACCCTCCCTCTCTTTCCATCCATTCATTTGTCTATTTGCCTCCCTATCTGTCTTTTTATCTCTCTTTCTCTCTAACTATTTATATATGTATCTGCCTCGCTATCTATTTATCTTTTATCAATCTACCCAAAGTTTTACCTTTTTAATTTGAACCATGACTAAACTGGTTTTCAACTGGGAGTTTATTTAATACTGTTTATATTGACTCTTATTTTAATCTTTTCATATTTGTATATTTTAAATTGTATGCTGATGCTTTTATGTTAAGCCGCTTTGAGTCTCCAGCGGGAGCGATAAAGTGGGGTAAAAGGTAAAGGTAAAGGTAAAGGTTTCCCCTTGACATTAATTGTAGTCATGTCCGACTGAGTGGTGGTGCTCATCTCCATTTCTAAGCTGGAGAGCCAGCGTTGTCCGTAGACACCTCCAAGGTCATGTGGCCGGCATGACTGCATGGAGTGCTGTTACCTTCCCGCCAAAGAGGCATCTATTCATCTACTCACATTTGCATGTTTTCGAATTGCTAGGCTGGCAGAAGCTAGGGCTAACAGTGGGAGCTCACCCTACTCCCCAGATTTGAATCTCCAAACCCACTTTCGGTCAGCAAGTTCAACAGCTCAGCAGTTTAACCCACTGCACCACTAGGGGGCCCTAAAGCAGGGTATAAACAAATAAATTATTATTATTATTATTATTATTATTATTATTATTATTATTGTTATTATTATTTCCCAACCTTTAGTCTCAGCCTGGCCTGCCTTGTGGGGTTGGTGCTGGAAAGACTGAATAACAAAGAGGGAGAGAACTGCATATCCCTCCTTGAGCTCATTGGAAGGACGGTGAGCTGCAAATTTGGCTATGGCGAATGCCGACTTGCCCGACTTCACTGTACCTTGTGTTGGTACCGGGGGTCAAAGGCGTGCTTGATCAGGAGGCTCTTCAGGATGCTGATGGCCAGGGAGCGGACCTCGTAGGTGTCCTGCAGGGCGAAGGACGCTTCCCGCAGAAGCAGGCCCACCAGGAAGTGGTGGCGACAGTATTCCTCGGACAAGCTGGACTCCAGGTTCGCATCTGACGCAAGGAGAAACAAACACAATGCGGAAGTGGTATTCCCATTGCTCCGATTGGTTGAGCGTCTCTGACATCGCAGGACCTTCTTGGTGGAAAGATGCTGATTCACTGACTTTTATACCCTATATATACCGTATATACTCGAGTATAAGCTGACCTGAATATAAGCCGAGGGACCTAATTTTACCACAAAAAACTGGAAAAACGTATTGACTCGAATATAAGTCGAGGGTGGGAAATGCATCAGCTACTGATAATACAAAATAAATATAGATACCAATAAAATTACACTAATTGAGGAAACAGTTGGTTAAATGTTTTTCAATGTTTACATAAAACTGTAATTTAAAATAAGACTGACCAACTTTGATTAAACCATTATTCTAACCTTTTTCAGTGTCAATGTGCTTATGTATCCTTCCAATAATAATAAAGAAAGTAAAATAATAAATGTAATAATAATAATAAATAGAGTAAAATAAATGTAATAAAATAATAATAGAGTAAAATAATGCAAATGTAATAATGCTAATAATAGAGTAAAATAATAAATGTCATAACAATAATACCAAAGTAAAATAATAAATGTAATAATAATAAATAGAGTAAAATAAACGTAATAAAATAATAATAGAGTAAAATAATACAAATGTAATAAAACCAATAATAGAGAGAAATAATAAATGTAATCAAAATAATAGTAATAACAGAGTAAAATAATAAATAACTGACTTGAGTATAAGCCGAGGGCAGCTTTTTCAGCCTAAAAAAGGGGCTGAAAAACTAAGCTTATACTCGAGTATATACAGTAATCAATGTAATAAAAATAATACTAATAGCAGAGTAAAGTAATAAATAACCTTGACTTGAGTATAAGCCGAGGGGATTTTTTTCAGCCTAAAAAGGGGCTGAAAAACTAGGCTTATACTCAAGTATATACAGTAAATGCTTTTGATTGTATAGCCGATTTAATTGCATGGAATTGATTGCATAGAGAGTTGGCTTGTATTAATACATATGGTCTGAATGTTTACCGAAATTGTTCAAAGCAATAGTTGCATATGGTTGTAAAGTGGATCTACACTGGTCGAATTAATGCACTTTGACAGCACTTTAACTGCCATGGCTTCATGCTATGGGATCCTGGAATCTGTAGTTTTAAGGGACATAGAAGGCATTGCAAAACTACCATAGCATAGAGCCAATGAAAGTGGTGCCAAACTGCATTAAGTCTACAATGTAGATCAGGCATGGGCAAACTTGGGTTCTCCAGGTGTTTTGGACTTTTGGAAACTCAGCCGCTTAAGGAAGGGGCCTGAGGCTGTTAGGAATTGTGGGAGTGGAAGTCCAAAACACCTGGAGGGCCCAAGTTGGCCCATGCCTGGTGTAGATGCATCTGAAGGACATTGAGTCAACTAGATGCCATTTATGGAAAGCAAAGGCTTGCAGATGTCCTTGCGCCGAAAGCAGAAAGCGGCCGATAAAAGATGTTAGATGATCCATGGAGCAAATCTGATATATGTTTTTAGTAAGGGAAAAGGCATTGGGTGCCGTGAACGAATTGATCTGTTGAGGAAGGAAGGATGCGTTGCATTCAATGGAAGCTTATTGGGTGCAGAAATGAGCCAATCAGATGTTGCAATTGATTGGGAGTGAAGCTAATTTTTGACGTTGCCATTGAGACTAATATCCCACGCCCGACCTACCTACGGAAGTGAACCGTTCCAGAGCCAAGAAAAAGAAATCTAATTAGTGGGCGAAAAAGGGAAACAAAAAGGAATCAATAACATGGCCCTCTCTTTTTGTGTGTATGTGTGTGTATGACATATCTATATATACACACATACAAAACTCAACACTTTTTTGGTGATTTTGCTGGCATAGGAAATGCTGTAACAACTTTCTCAAACATTGCGCAAGGAGGCATACAATACCTTCTTGTGCAATACATTATTTTCATTCCCTAACTGAGCAGTTGGATAACCAAGGATTGCACCAACATTAAAAGCATTCTGAAATGCTTTCAATGTAAGCTGATTTGAGTCTCCTTTGTGGAGAGAAAAAGAGAAGTACAAATAAACATAGCAACAACAACAACAACAACAAGGTAAGTATTAAGTTGTGTGTTTTCCAGGCTGTACGGCTATGTTCCAGAAGCATTCCCACCTGACGTTTTGCCTGCATCTATGGCAGGCATCCTCAGAGGTTGTGAGGTCTGAGGATTCCCGCTATAGATGCAGGCGAATTTATGATGCTTTGTTATGATACTACCCATATAACTTTAAGGTTTCTTTAGCATCAATATTTGGGTATCTAGGAGCTGATACGTCAGTCTGCTAGGTTTAGTAATGCTTCCAAAAGTATTAGAGCAAAACATTAGGAACAGAAGCATCCCGGAACCTACCTTGGACCCTCTGGAGCTTGGGTTTGGCAAAAGTCATGGGCAAATTGAGTGGGATGTAATGCTCATGGTTGCAAATGGTCTGCAGGAATTCAAATTTGTACTCCACCAACAACTGGATGCAAAAGAAGGAGAAAGACACAGACAGTGTTTATGGATAGCAATAGATTCCACAAATGGAAGGAGATGGCATCAAAATACCAAAGCCTGAGACATCCACGACCTTGTATTGTTGACAGAAAGGCAACTAAGAAAGCTGATGGAAAGGAATCCACATAAAGCAGTGTTTCTCAACCTTCCTAATGCCGCGACCCCTTAATACAGTTCCTCATATTGTGGTGACCCCCAACCATAACATTATTTCTGTTGCTACTTCAGAACTGTAATTTTGCTACTGTTATGAATTGTAATGTTAAGATCTGATATGTATTTTCATTCACTGGACCCAATTGGGTACAAAGACCCAATACGCCCAGATTTGAATACTGGTGGGGTTAGGGGGGGGGGGGTTGATTTTGTCATTTGGGAGTTGTGGTTACTGGGATTTATAATTCACCTACAATCAAAGAGCATTCTGAATTCCAACAATTATGGAATAGAACCAAACCTGGCACACAGAACTCCCATAACCAACAAAAAATACTGGAAAGGTTTGGTTGGCATTGACCTTGAGTTTTGGAGTTGTAGTTTACCTACATCCAGAGAGCACTGTGGATTCAAACGATAATGGATTTACACCAAACTTGGCACAAATATTCAATATGCCTAAATGTAAACATTGATGGAGTTTGGGGAAAATAGACCTTGACATTTGGGAGTTGTAGTTGCTGGGATTTATAGTTCGCCTACAATGAAAGAGCATTCTGAATCCCACCAATGATAGAATTGGGCCAAACTTCCCACATGGAACCCTCATGACCAACAGAAAATACTGATGGTCTCTGGCTACTCTTCCGACACCCCCTTTCACCCCCCCAGAGGTCCCGACCCCCCAGTTGAGAAACGCTGCCATAGAGTCGCAACCAATTCAACATAGTTTATGGCAGCCACAAAAATAAAGTTTCTGGAGTACACAAACTATTTTCTAAGTAAGTACTGCACAATTAAACAGAAAATAACACATTCAAACCAGGAACAGATTTATTTTTTCAAATTTTGTTACATAGCATAATCCAACACATTAATTCTGTATCTGAAGCCCAACCTTTATCAGTTAGAGGCTCACCTTTGGGTCTTTGGGGCTGAATCCCGAAATATAGTCATTGATCAAGTTGAAGATAAAGCCTCGGTCCATGAAGGTCAGACAGCGCTGCAAGAAGCATTAACACACCAACATTAAATAGGGCAAAGTTACAGGACAAGACTGGTCGGATCCATGATCCTATTCTTGCATATACTGCAATCCCTTTTATGGAAAACATGGCATCTTCTCCTGCAAGGAGCTCCCAGATCCCTTGCTGGGCTCCTTCGAGTTATTTCCCACTTAGAGCAACCCTTAAGGCCAAATAAAGCAGGGATTTCTCTGGCGTGTGCTGCCATTGCCTGACCCTGAGGCTGAGAGAGTGTGACTCGCCCAATGTTTCCATGGCTGAGTTTGGATTCAAATCTGGGACTCATTAATGAAGTTAAACTGCATTCTGTAACTGGATTATACGATAATGTAGATGAGTCCCTAGTCTCAAGAGTAGTAATCCAATTCTGAAAATATGATATGTGGCCTTTATAGACCAATGCTTATCCAATGAGCTCAAAGTATTATTATTTGGTTGCTGTGAGTTTTCCGGGCTGTATGGCCATGTTCCAGAAGCATTCTCTCCTGACGTTTCTCCCACATCTATAGCAGGCATCCTCAGAGGTTGTGAGGTCTGTTGGGAACTAGGCAAGTGAGGTTTATATATCTGTGGAATAATGTCCAGAGTGGGAGAAAGAACTCTTGTCTATTGGAGGCAAGTGTGAATGTTGCAATTGGCCACCTTGATTAGCATTTAATGGCCTTGTAGCTTCAAAGCCTGCTGATTGCTTGCCTAGTTTCCAACAGTCTTCACAACCTCTGAGGATGCCTGCCATAGATGTGGGTGACATGTCGGAAGAGAATGCTTCTGGAACATGGCCGTACAGCCCAGAAAACTGCCGTTCAGCAGTGGAACTCTCTGCCCTGGAGTGTGGTGGAGGCTCCTTCTTTGGAAGCTTTTAAACAGAGGCTGGATGGCCATCTGTCAGGGGTGATTTGAATGCAACATTCCTGCTTCTTGGCAGGGGATTGGACTGGATGGCCCATGAGGTTTCTTCCAACCCTATGATTCTATGAAAACTCACAACAACCCAGTGATTCCACCCATGAAAGCCTTCGACAACACATTATTATTATTATTATTATTATTATTATTATTATTATTATTATTTTACAATCTAACAGTAAATAAACATTATTATTATTATTATTATTATTATTTTACAATCTAACAGTAAATAAACATTATTATTATTATTATTATTATTATTATTATTATTATTATTATGTGTTTTGATCCAGACCCAACAAGGCTCACAACCTTAAAAACCACCCAACTATAACGACAGAAAATTATAACGAGGTTTGGCACCACTCGAACTACCATGAATCAATGCTACGGGGTCCTGGGATTTCTAGTTTTACAAGGTCTTGAGCCTCCTGGGTCAAAGAGGGCAAATTACACAAATCAGGATCTTGTAGCATTGGTTCGTGGCAGTTCAAAGGGTGCCAAACCTCATCAATTCGATAGTGTGGATACATATTTAGTGGATTAAAACATTAAATAAAAGATGGGTATTGAAAGCGACGAAAAAACCTGCCCACCTTGAGGAAACTGGCCAAGCTGAAATTGACGTTTCTGGACTCCTCTGGGATTTCGCTGTAGCGGATGTTGACATGAGGAATGATGGCGAGGAGAAGCGAATGCAAGGCATGGTTGTAAGATTCGGGGAAGCGCTGAGCCCTGGGGAGCTGAAGGGGAATTATTATTATTATTATTATTATTATTATTATTATTATTATTATTACACAATGCAGCACGTTTATTGGTTATAAATGTCATTTCCTAATTGGCTCTATCATAAAAACATGAAATTAGTTTATTAAACTGCACAAATTTTGGTTTTGTAGATCATCCTGCTAGAGCACATTTTGTTCTAGTTCAGTGTTACTCAACCTGGGGGTCGGGACCCCTGGGGGGGTGTCAGAGGAATCGCCAAAGACCATCAGAAAACACAGTATTGTCTGTTGGTCATGGGGTTTCTGTGTGGGAAGTTTGGCCCAATTCTATCATTGGTGGTATGGGATTTATAGTTCAGCTCTTTGATTGTAGCTGAACTATAAATCCCAGCAACTACAACTCCCACATGTCAAGGTCTATTTTTCCCAAACTCCACCAGTATTCACATTTGGGCATATTGAGTATTCGTATCAAATTTGGCTTCAAACTACAAGAAAAGAGATTCCATCTGAACATTAGGAAGAACTTCCTGACTGTGAGAGCTGTTCAGCAGTGGAACTCTCTGCCCCGGAATGTGGTAGAGGCAGGGGCGGCTCAACCCATTATGCAAAGTAAGCATTTGCAGTATAGTTGATTTTGCCCAGAGGTGCTTTTGAGGTGCTCTTGGGGGAAAATAGACCTTGACATATGTGAGTTGTAATTACTGGGATGTATAGTTCACCTACAATCAAAGAGCATTCTGAACTCCACCAATGATGGAATTGGACCAAATATGGCACACAGAACTCCCACGACGAACAGAAAATATATATCAGTGATTAGTTGGGGGGGGGGGGGGGGGCAAAATACTGTTTGCTTACCGTTGAAAATTACCTAGGGCCGCCTCTGGGTAGAGGCTCCTTCTTTGGAAGCTTTTAAACAGAGGCTGGATGGCCATCTGTCCGGAGTGCTTTGAATGCAATTTTCCTGCTTCTTGGCAGGGGGTTGGACTGGATGGCCTATGAGGTCTCTTCCAACTCTATTATTCTAAGTTTGGTCCAGATCTACCATTGTTTATGTCCACAGTGCTCTCTGGATATAGGTGAACTACAACTCCCAAACTCAAGGTCAATGACCACCAAACCCTTCCAGTATTTTATGTTGGTCTTGAGAGTTCTGTGTGCCAAGTTTTGTTCAATTACATCGTTTTTGGGGATCAGAATGCTCTTTGATAGTAGGTGAACTATAATTCTCAGCAACTACATCTCCCAAATGACAAAATCAATCCCTCTCACAACTCCACCAGTATTCAAATTTGGGCGTATCGGGTATTTGTGCCAAATTTGGTCCAGTGAATGAAAATACACCCTACATATCAGATATTTACATTTCAATTCATAACAGTAGCAAAATTACAGTTATGAAGAAGCAACAAATATAATGTTATGGTTGGGGGTCACCACAACATGAGGAACTGTATTAAGGGGTCTGGGCATTAGGGACATTGAGAAACACTGGCCTAGAGTCTCAAACCAATTCAAGAGAGTTTGTGGCAGTCACCAAAATGAATTTCCTGGAGTAGAACAACTACTTCCAAAGTAAGGGTTACACAATTACACAGTAAATAGTACTTTCAAACCAGAAACATTTTTTTCAAGTTTTGTTACATAATGTTATTGTAGTCACTCTGGACCGTGCTCTGACCTACATATTTGCCTGAATATCAAGCAAAAAGTGGGTGCTAGAAACAATATCATACGAAAGCTGAACTGGCACAACCTGGGGATCACAACCAGACACAGTGAAGACATCTGCCCTTGCACTAGTGGGAAAGAATCCCACTGGAGCATTGCAGCGCACCCAAATACCTGGGAGTCACTCTGGACCGTGTCCTGACCTACAAGAAGCACTGCCTGAATATCAAGCAAAAAGTGGGTGCTAGAAACAATATCATACGAAAGCTGACTGGCACAACCTGGGGATCACAACTAGACACAGTGAAGACATCTGCCCTTGCACTATGCTACTCTGCTGCTGAGTATGCATGCCCAGTGTGGAACGCATCTCACCATGCTAAAACAGTAGATGTAGCTCTTAATGGGACATGCTGCATTATCACGGGGTGTCTGCGCCCTACACCACTGGAGAAATTACACTGTTTAGCCGGTATTGCACCACCTGACATCCGCCGGGAAGTAGCAGCCAATAGTGAAAGGACCAAGGCAGTGACATCTCCAGCCCATCCCTTGTTTGGGTATCAGCCAGCACGTCAATGACTTAAATCAAGAAATAGTTTTCTAAGATCTACAGAGACACTCGCTGGAACACCTCAGCAAGCAAGAGTCCAAAAGTGGCAGGCTCAAACCCAGAACCTCAATCCATGGCTGATACCAAATGAGAGACTTCCCCCTGGGCACACAGAAAACTGGGTGACTGGGAAGGCGCTGAACAGACTGCGCTCTGGCACTACGAGATTCAGAGACAACCTTAAGAAATGGGGACACAAAGTGGAATCCACGACATGCGAATGCGGAGAAGAGCAAACCACTGACCACCTGCTGCAATGCAACCTGAGCCCTGCCACATGCACAATGGAGGACCTTCTTATAGTAACACCAGAGGCACTCCCAGTGGCCAGATACCGGTCAAAGGACATTTAATAGAATACCAAGCTTGCAAACTTTGTGTTTTGTGTGTTTGTTTGTTTGTTAAAAATGCAGTGCAACTGTTTGGTTGCTCCTGACACGATAAATAAATAAATAAATTGTTAAAGGAGACTCAAAAGTATGAACACAATTCACCGAGCTCACACAGTGACAAGGCTTGTGCTTTTGCAGCACTTCTCTCCTTTACCTTGATCTTGTTCTCCTCCAGCAGGTACATGGCCATGGACTTGGCCAGCGCTTCGAAGAAAAACCAGGAATACTAGAAGAGACCGGCAAAAGACAAGTCATGCGCCGAAACAAAGCTTTGCAAACCTTTCATGTTGGTGACATGCTTTTGAGACAGACCTCCTTTTGCAAGACAGTCATTCAGTTTTTCTAGCAAACACGGGATTAAACCACTCCCCTATAAGTGTTTCATGATCAGATTAATTCCGACAAGACAGAGGTCCTTTTGGTCGATTGTAAACCAGACCAGGGTATTGGGTGGCAGCCTGTGCTGGATGGGGTTGCACTCCCCATGAAGTCACAAGTCCGCAGTTTGGGGGTCCTCCTGGATTCTTCACTGACGTTTGAGGCTCAGGCGTCAGTGGTGGCCGGGAGGGCCTTTGTGCAATTAAGACTCGTGCGCCAACTGCAACTGTACCTCAGGAAGACAGATCTGGCCAAAGTGGTCCACGCCTTAGTCACCTCTAGACTGGATTACTGCAATGCACTCTACGTGGGGCTGCCCTTGAAAACGGCCCAGAAATTTCAGATGATCCAATGGGCGACAGCCAGGTTGTTAACTGGGGCTCCTTACAGGGAGCGGTCAACCCTTCTGTTCAAGGAGCTCCACTGGCTGCCATTCATCTACCGGACCCAATTCAAGGTGCAGGTTTTTACCTTCAAAGCCCTGAACGGTTTGGGACCCGCCTACCTGCGTGACCGCATCTCCATATATGAACCACACGATGCCTTCGATCATCCGGAGAGGCCCTGCTCTCGATCCCACCAGCATCTCAGGCGCGATTGGTGGGGACGAGAGAGAGGGCCTTTTCGGTGGTGGCCCCTCGACTCTGGAACGCACTCCCTAAAGACATCAGATAGGCCCCAACTCTGGCAGTCTTCAGGAGGAGCTTGAAGACGTAGCTGTTCCAGTGTGCCTTCCCGGAACAATGATCTCATAGCACTTTGTCCTCCAAAGCACTTTACATTTCTTTAGGTCTGCTAGTACGCCCTTACAAACACCTTATCTCCTTTCGTCCATATCCCAACATTATTTCCAATTTTAACTTTACATTTGGCCTTCCCACTGTTTTTAACTGTGTGTTGTCTTAGTAATAATGTTGCATATTTTATTGCCTATGTTTTATTTTTTATTGTGTTGTATTGTTGTTTATTGTCTGTATTGTATTTGGGCTCGGTCTCTTGTAAGCCGCACCGAGTTCCTTGGGGAGATGGTAGCGGGGTACAAATAAAGTATAATAGTAATAATTAAATAATAATAATAATAATGTTTATTATTATTAAAAGGATCGGGCACGGGCTAGTGCAAAACAGCATAGCACAGGGCCGGGGATTGGAAGAAGTGCAAAGACGTTAAGATCTTCTGGGGAGGCCCTGGTCTTGCTCCCGCCTTCTTCGCAGATGCGTCTGGCGGGGACGAGAGACAGGGCCTTTTCAGCGGTGGCCCCTCAACTGTGGAACGCCCTGCCTAGAGATATAAGATCGGCTCCCTCCCTCCTGACTTTTCAAAAAAAGGTGGAAACCTGGCTTTTTGAGCAGGCCTTCCCAAATACGGCATAGCTAAACAGGATTATGGAACTACTTGAAAATGCAATGGAATAACGATTTGACATGGAGACGCTCACGATAATGTTTTAAGGCTTTGTACGGTTTTTATTTTTTTATATATCATACGCTATTGATTTTAACAGAATTTCTTGATTGTTTTTACTTGTTATAATTGTTGGGGCATCAAACAAGTCGCCTCTGGGCTGAGAGGGGCAGTATATATAGTAAATATAGTAAATAAATAAAATAAAATAAAATAAAATAAAAACAGAGTACTATCTGGCAAACTTTTATATATATACCGTATATACTCGAGTATAAGCTGACCAGAATACAAGCCAAGGTACCTAATTTTACCACAAAAAACTGAGAAAACGGATTGACTCGAGTATAAGCCGAGGGTGGGAAATGCAGCCGCTACGGGTAAATTGCAAAATAAAAATAGATACCAATTAAATTACATTAATTGAGGAATCGGTAGGTTATATATTTTTGAATATTTACAAAAATGGTAATTTAAGATAAGACTGTCCAACTCTGATTAAATGATTATTTACCTTCTTCAGTGTAAACCTATCCTTCCAATAATAATAAAGAGAGCAACATAATAAATGTAATAATAACAACAATAATAAGAAGAGTAAAATAATGAATGTAGCAATAACTATTATACAGTAAAATAATAAATATATAATAATAGAGTAAAATGATAAATGTAATGATAATAAATAGAAAAATAATAAATGAAATAATAATAATAATAATAATAATAAAAGTGTAAAATAATAAATAACCATGACTCGAGTATAAGCCAAGGGGGGCTTTTTCAGCCTAAAAAAAGGGCTGAAAAACTAGCCTTATACTCGAGTATATACAATCTATCTATCTATCTATCTATCTATCTATCTATCTATCTATCTATATATATATATATATATATGGTAAAGGTTGTCCCCTGACATTAAGGAGGTGCGCATCTCCATTTCTAAGCCGAAGAGCCAGCGTTGTCCATAGACATCTCCAAGGTCATGTGGCCGGCATGACCTCATGGAACGTCGTTACCTTCCCGCCGGAGCGGTACCTATTGATCTACTCGCATTTGCATGTTTTCGAACTGCTATGTTGGCAGAAGCTGGAGCTGACAGCAGAAGCTCATGCTGCTCCCCGGAATCGAACCTGCGACGTTTCAGTCAACAAGCTTAGTAGCTCAGCGCTTTAACCCACTGCGCCACCAGGGGCTCCCATATAATGTTTATGTGTGAATATATATGCATATATATATAATGTTTATGTGTGAATATATAGTTAAAATACAAACAATATCCATGGTTTCACTTATCCATGCTCCGGAGAAATATCCCTCATCTGGAAGTGTTCACTTTTCCAATTCAATGGTATGTTTCCGGACCAAGTAAACACATTGCTGTTTTCCTCGCATCACTGCTAACCGAATAGGTGAAGGTTTTTCTCTGACATTAAGTCCAGGCGTGTCCAACTCTAGGGGATTGGTGCTCATCTCCACTTCTAAGCTGAAGAGCCGGCATTGTCCGCAAACACCTCCAAGGTCATGTGGCTGGCATGACTGTATGGAGCACCATTACCTTCCCGCCAGAGTGATACCTATTGATCTACTCACATTTGAATGTTTTCAACTGATAGGTTGGCAGAAGCTGGGGCTAACAGTGGGAGCTCACACCACTCCCCAGATTCGAACCTGCGGCCTTTTGGTCAGCAGGTTCAACAGCTCAGTGCTTTAACCCACTGCGCCACCGGGGGCTCCATATATAATGTTTACCTGTGAATATGTATGTAAAGGTTGTCCCCTGACATTAAGTCCAGATGTGTCTGACTCTGGAGGTTGGTGCTCATCTCCATTTCTCAGCCGAAGAGCCAGTGTTGTCCGTTGACACCTCCAAGGTAATGTGGCCGGCATGACTGCATGGAATACCATTATCTTCCCGCCGGAGCAGTACCTATTGATCTACTCACATTGGCATGTTTTCGAACTGCTAGGTTGGCAGAAGCTGGGGCCTGGGAGCTCACACCACTCCCCGGATTCAAACCCTTTTGGTCAGCAAGTTCAACAGCTCAGTGCTTTACCCACTGCACCACTGGGGGCTCTTGCTAACCCAATAAAACGATTCAAATTGAAATAATAGATTCAAGACTCCATGCAGCCCTATTTGCATTGACATCTCCTTGTTCTGCCTGACCTTCAGCATCTTATTGATGGCCAAGAAATCTGCCGACTGCTTGAGGATCAGGGCCATTGAGACGGACAAGATCCCGTGGGTCGTCTTGTTTTGGGGTGCCGAGGGCTTCTCGGGTCGAAAGCAATACTGCGAAATAAAAAAGGAGGGAGATACATGTTCCATCATCCATAGACAGGTGAATAAGGTGTCTTTTCTGGATAGAAAGAAGAGGACTTTCAACGAGATCCCCATCCTTTCCACTAACCTTGATGAACGACCGCAAGTCATGGTCCAGGCCTTCTTCGTGGCATCTGGAGACAATGTGCAGGATCACCCTGGGAAGCAAGAAGAGTGGGATATGTGATATTATTTTATTATTGTATCTTCAATAATAATCTCCTAAGAAAAGCCCTATATATAGATTGTACTTTACTATTATATATTCAATAAATTATTATATATTCAATAATCGCCTCATATAAGGATTGTACTCGGATAGCTTTTGTTATTATATCTATATAAATAAAAATGTAATGTTCGTTTGTGGGATTAACAGAGCTCAAAAACCACTGGACGAATTGACACCAAATTTGGACACAAGGCACCTATCCGGCCAAGGAGTGACCATCACTCAAAAAAAGTTGATTTTGTCATTTGGGAGTTGCAGTTGCTGGGATTTAAAGTTCACCTACAATCGAAGAGCATTCTTGTTGAGATTAATTTCACAATTCAGCAGATCAGTTGCACAACTTCAGCTCTTTCCAGTAGCTTCTTCCTGCACAGTATTTTCAGTCAACTGCTCCCACAAACTGCAGTCACTCTGGAACTCTTTTACAGACACTTGAGCACATGCCCGGCCATTGTCAGTTTTACCATTGTCTTTCCCCCAGTATAGATGACATTACAAACTTACCACAGCACACAGTTATATCTTGTCTTAGCAGACAGGTTCTTTTAATCAATTACACAGAGCCTTCGGCAAACAGCATCACAGCACAAGGAGAGAGAATACACTGTACACGACTTCCTTATATACAATTCCATACAATTACACATAGCAATCTCTTTCCAGTAGCTTCTTCCTGCACAGTATTTTCAGTCAACTGCTCCCTCAAACTGCAGTCACCCTGGAACTCTTTTACAGACACTTGAGCACATGCCCGGCCATTGTCAGTTTTACCATTGTCTTTCCCCAAGTCTAGATGACATTACAAACTTACCACAGCACACAGTTATATCTTGTCTTAGCAGACAGGTTCTTTTAATAAATTACACAGAGCCTTCGGCAAACAGCATCACAGCACAAGGAGAGAGAATACACTGTATATGACTTCCTTATATACAATTCCATACAATTCCACATAGCAATCTCTGATTGGTTCCCAACTCATTAACTTAACTCAGACCTAGGATTACATCATTCACAATCACCTGGACTAGGCCAGAACACATTCCCCAAATGAAGTTCTATATACAGTTAATGCATGACTCAGTATTTCCAATAGAAGCCTATTAGCAGTGCATGACTCAGCTATATTACATTACAATACATTGTAAAACCCGACAATTCTGAACTTCACTAATGATGGAATTGAACCAAACTTGGCACACAGGATTTCCAAGACCAACAGAAAACACTAGAAGGGTTTGGTGGGCATTGACCTTGAGTTTGGGAGTTATAGTTTAACTACACCCAGAGAGCACTGTGGACTCAAACAATGATGGATCTGGACCAAACTTGCCATGAATACTCCATACGCCAAAATACGAACACAGATGGAGTTTGGGGGAAATAGACCTTGACATTTGGGAGTTGTAGTTGCTGGGATTTATAGTTTGCTTACAATCAAAGACCATTTTGAACCCTACCAACAATAGAATTGGGCCAAACTTCCCATACAGAACCCCCATGACCAACAGAAAATACTGTTTTCTGATGGACTTTGGAGACTCCTTTGACACCCCCTCACGACCCCTCCAGGGGTCCCGACCCCCAGGTTGAGAAACTCTGTCCGAGATGGACAGTATAAAATGATTTCCTACTTCCTCTGATGGGACCAGACTTCAGTCATCAGTATGGTATTAGAGAGGTGTGTCTTTACTGATAACAAAAGACTGTAATCGCCATCTTGCCGGACGTCCTTGCTTTGTGCCGTGTTAGTCTTTGTATATATAATGTAAATAAAGCTAATTACTTTATGCCTGCAATCCATACAAGTTTTATTACCGATCCCACCTGACGATTAATCTGGACCAAACTTGGCAAACAATCCCAACGTTCCCAACTTCAAACACTGGCGGCGTTTGGGGGAGATTGACTCTAGATAAGTGGTTCTCAACCTGGGGTCCCCAGATGTTTTTGGCCTACAACTCCCAGAAATCCCAGCCAGTTTACCAGCTGTTAGGATTTCTGGGAGTTGAAGGCCAAAAACATCTGGGGACCCCAGGTTGAGAACCACGTTGGGATTGTTTGCCAAGTTTGGTCCAGATTAATCGTCAGGTGGGTTCAGAGTTTGTCGCTGCGGTAATAGATGTTGGGAGTTGTAGTTCACCCACATCCAAAGAGCACTGTGAATCCCTCTGGTGACAGATCAAGACCAAACCTGGCACACAGACCCCACATGACCAACTTTAAATACTGGCAAAGTTTGGAGGCAATGATGGAGGATGATGGGAGTTGTAGTTTACTCACAACCTTGTTTTTTTTCCAAATTGAACCATTCAAAATATCCCATAACCCAATGACAACTTCTAATATTTTTGATTATGAATTCCCTAACCTGGGCATTACTGGATAGCTAAGCTAGTTATTAATAATTAAGAAAGGCATTAGATCAATTCAAAAACCCACATACATGGTGCAGTTGACGGCAACGTCTTCCTCTTGGGCCTGGTGGGTGAGGACTCGGAAGAGCTGGGTGAGGATCACCGGCAAAAACTGGACCATGACCTGGATCTCCATGGCATGCAAGCACTGGAACAGACAGGGACAACAGAACCCATGTGGAGCGTGATACAAATTTTATTTTATTTATTTATTATTTAAACTTATATGCCGCCACTCCCCTGGGGCTCGGAGTGGCTTACAAGAATAGCTAAAATCTAACAAAATTTAAAAGCAATTTAAAACAATTTAAAAACAACAATATCAACATTAAAAGCCTGGTATGTCTTACATGCCCTGCAGAAAGCTGGTAAGTCCCGCAAGGCACGGACTTCAGGTGGCAGAGCATTCCAGACTGATGGTGCCACTGCTGTGAAGGCTCTGCGTCTGGTTGCCGTTAGACGCAAGGTCTTGACACTGGGGACTTCCAATAGATCTTGGTCCTCAGAACGGAGGGATCTCTGGGGTTGGTAGGGGGTGAGGCGGTCCCTCAGGTACATCGGCCCCAGACCATGCAAGGCCTTAAAGGTGAGTACCATCACTTTGAAAGTGATCCGGTGCTCAATTGGTAACCAATGCAGCTGTAGTAAGATTGGGGTTATGTGGCATCCCATCGGAATTCCCGCAAGAAGCCGAGCGGCTGTATTTTGTACCAACTTGAGCTTCCGGATCACCGAAAGAGGAAGGCCAATGTAGAGGGCGTTACAGTAGTCCAGTCTTGAGATGACCGTGGCCTGGATCACCGTAGCTAGGTCGTCCCTGGATAGGGAGGGGGCCAGCCGTCTAGCCTGCCGCAAGTGAAAGAAGGCGGTTCTGCTAACGGTGGAGACCTGGGCCTCCACCGTCAGCAGAGGGTCCAAAAGGACTCCCAGGCTCTTTACCAATGATGACGGGTGTAGCGCCTTGCCATCCAGGGTAATCAGCTGGATGTCCCCACTGCCCGGTCGACCCAGCCATAGGATCTCCGTCTTTGCTGGATTCACCCTCAACCTGCTGGCACGCAGCCATCCAGTAACGGCCTCGAGGCACTGATGGAAACAATCGGGTACAGAGTCCGGTTGGCTTTCCATCTTCAGCACAAGCTGAGTGTCATCGGCGTACTGATAACACTCAAGCCCAAAACCTCGAACCAGCTGAGCAAGTGGTCGCATAGTAAAGGTAAAGGTTGACCCCTGACATTAAGTCCAGTCATGTCTGACTCTGGGGTGTGGTGCTCATTTCCATTTCTAAGCCGAAGAGCCAGCGTTGTCCGTAGACACCGCCAAGGTCATGTGGCCGGCATGACTGCATGGAGCACCGTTACCTTCCCGCCAGAGCGGTACCTATTGATCTACTCACATTTGCATGTTTTTGAACTGCTAGGTTGGCAGAAGCTAGGGCTGACAGCGGAAGCTCACGCCGCTCCCCGGAATTGAACCTGCGACCTTTCGATCAACAAGCTCAGCAGCTCAGTGCTTTAACCCACTGCGCCACCAAGTGGTCGCATATATATGTTAAATAACAGAGACGGAAATGAGACGGAAAAAGGATAGCTAATCTCTATCCTCCAAAAAACTTAGAGGATATACTGAGTGATTACGGCTTCATCCCAACCATCATAAACTTTCCAGTCAGATATAGCGTAATACATTATTTTGATGCTACAGAAATCCTTTGTTTCTCCAAATTCTATTTTTGCAATGTAGATTGAAACTAAGGGGTCAACATGGTTGAATCTTGCACATTTTTACCATTTCCTAGAGAAACACTGGTGATAGATCGTTCAGTGCTCTAAAGACCTTTTGGATTCAGCTCCATAGGAAAGTGTTATTTTATGGCATCAGGATTTATGATGATTTAAGCTAGTCCTATGATTTATAAATGTTGCCGTTCACATTGACAGTATTAACATCATTGGGCTGTCTGGTCATGTTCCAGAAGCATTCCCTCCTGACGTTTCGCCCACATCTATGGCAGGCATCCTCAGAGGTTGTGGGGTCTGTTAGAAACTAAGCAAGTGAGGTTTATATATCTGTGGAATAATATCCAGAGTGAGAGAAAGAACTCTTGTCTGCTTGAGGCAAGTGTGAATGTTGCAACTGGCCACCTTGATTAGCATTTAATGGCCTTGCAGCTTCAATACCTTGCTGGTTGCTCTCTGGGGGAATCCCTTGTTGGGAGGTGTTAGCTGGCCCTGACTGATTATTGTCTGGAATTCTCCTGTTGTTTGAGTGTTCCTCTTTATTTACTGTCAGACTGCACAGAGAAGCCATTGAAATCCACAAACATGTGGACAATTTCAACAAAAAGAAGGTAGCAAAATGGCTACCAGTACAAAAAAACCCTAAAATCAGGACATGTAAACAAAGAGCAAGACTAAAAACAACAGGGGGAATTCCAGACAGGAAACAATCAAGGCCAGCTAACACCTCCCAACAAGGGATTCCCCCAGGGAGCAACCAGCAAGCTATTGAAGCTGCAGAGGCCATTAAATGCTAATCAAGGTGGCCAATGGCAACATTCACACTTGCCTCACACAGACAAGAGTTCTTTTCCTCACCGTGGACTTTCCAGAGATATAAACCCCACTTGCCTAGTTTCCAACAGATCTCACAACCTCTGAGGATGCCTGCCACAGATGTGGGAGGAACGTCAGGAGAGAATGCTTCTGGAACATGGCAACAAATCCCGGAAAACTCGCAGCAACCCAGTGATTCCAGCCATGAAAACCTTCAACAACACAATGTTTCTCACCTTTAAATATTTGACAAGTTCCCCTGGGACTTCTTTGGCTCCTGTTTGGATTGTCTGGCAATACTGGAAGAAGTTATGGAGATGGAGATCCTGAAAGAAACAGACACTCAATGGATGAGACCTTCTTGTGGTTAATAATCTACTCCATTGTTATTTCCAAAGCTCTATATATCCAGCCCGATTGGCATGGCTTCCATATCAGTGGGGCACTGAATCCACTCTAGGTTTTAGCCGGAATTATTAAGCACTAAGTGACTGTTTTAGCCAAATTCAACTCCTTTTGTTTATGTTTTTGGATGAAAAATTGTCCCCCAAAAAGTGTCCTCCAAGGGCTTATGAAGCCCTTGGAGAAGGGGTTCATAAGCAGAACATAGGCCCAATCTACACTGCCATATAAAATTCAGATTATTTACTTTGAACTGGATTATATGGCAGTGTAGACCCATATAATTCAGGCTGGATATACACTGTCATATAATCAAAACAGATAATCCAGATTATCTGCTTTGAATCTGATTATATGAGTCTGCGCTGCCACAGAATACAGTTCAAAGCAAATAATAATAATAATAATAATAATAATAATAATAATAATAATAATATTTCCTACCCACCTCTCCTTGTGGCTCAAGGCGGATTACGACATCACTAAAACACACACAATAATCTAAAACATTCTACTAAAACACATATTAAAACATATTTCTGCAAAATACATATTACAATAGACAGAATAGAGATAAGACACATAATACACTGCCATATACAATCCGGATAACACTAAGTAACACCATTTTTGTTCCTGGGTTATGAATGTAATTTCCTAAATGGTTCTATCATAAAAACATGGGAAAAGTTTATGAAACTGCTAAAACTTCCTGCAGCACATTTTGCTCTAGTTTTTCAACAACTATGTCATCATCGAGTCTCAACCAATTCGATCTAGTTTGTGGCACCCACAAAAACAAAGTTTCTGGAGTATTTATTTATTTATTTATTTACTTTGCTTGTATACCGCAGTTTCTCAGCCCGAAGGTGACTCAACGCGGTTCACAACCAGAGCAAAAAGACAATCATGACAATATACAATTTAAAAACCATTAAGAGCATAATATACAAAGTAATGACACATCAATAACGACACATTAACGTCTCGTAACTAGAATCGTGATCCAATTTCGTCGTCTATGATTCCGTTCCTATGTTCACCATATTCATTGCACTGTTTATCCGAATGCCTGTTCAAACAGCCAGGTTTTTAGTTTTCTTCGAAACACCATTAGCGTAGGAGCTGATCTGATGTCCATAGGAAGGGCGTTCCACAGCCGAGGGGCCACCACAGAGAAGGCCCTGTCCCTCGTCCCCGCCAGCCGTGCTTGTGATGCAGGCAGGATCGAGAGCAGGGCCTCTCCAGAAGATCTTAAGAGTCCTGGTGGGTTCATAGGCAGAGATACGTTCGGATAGGTAGCTTGGGCCCGAACCGTTTAGGGCTTTATAGGCCAAGGCCAGCACTTTGAATTGAGCCCGGTAGCAAATCGGCAGCCAGTGGAGCTGGTGTAGCAGAGGAGTTGTATGCTCCCTGCGCTCCGCTCCTGTTAGTATCATGGCTCCCGAGCGTTGGACTAGCTGGAGCTTCCGAGCCGTCTTCAAAGGCAACCCCACGTAGAGAGCGTTGCAGTAGTCTAGACGGGATGTAACCAGAGCGTGGACTACCGTGGCCAAGTCAGACTTCCCAAGGTACGGGCGCAGCTGGCGCGCAAGCTTTAACTGTGCGAATGCTCCCCTGGTCACCGCCGAAAGTTTTAGCAGTTTCATAAACTTTTCCCATGTTTTTATGATAGAACAACTACTTCCAAAGTAAGGACTGCACAAGTAAACAGGACATAACATTTTCAAACCAGGAATGGAAAAATCTTCAGATTTTATTACATAGTGTAATCTGGATTGTATATGGCAGTGTAGATGAGGTCATAGAGAATGTAAGGGCTTCCGTTCATATTTTGCCCATAGTTCTTTAAAGGAACTATCCAAGGTGCTGAATTCTCACCTCAAACTAGATTCAGCACTATGGAGAGTTCCTCACAAAGTAAGACCTGGAATAGATTCTGTCTCTGTCAACATATGAAATTAATAGCTGTTTGCTGGTATTTGGAGATAAATGGGCATTCTTTTGAGAACTTGAAGCTGGGTTCTCCTCACCTGGGTGTAAATGGTGGACTCCATGTGGAGCTTGACCTTGAAGAGAGGCTTTGCCCCGTCAACCCACTTGATGTCAGCATTGGATTGCTGTCAAAGGAGACCAGAAAGAAAGCTGTTTTGGGAATGCCATCGCTCTATCGAAGAGGCTGAAACTTACAAAGCAAAGGTCACCAGTCCAAAGGTGGAAAGAGTCTTAAATAACATGATTGAAAGCAGAGATTCTCAGTCACAATGGGTAGAATGAGAGAAGATTCCCAAGAAATTGGTAATGAGTACGAAGGTGACCCATGATCAGCAGTTTCAGAGAAGCAGACAATGGTGGATTTAGCTGTGAAAAGTAGACACTGGAAACTAGTTAATTGACTTCCTAAAGGACTCCAAGTTAAGAATGTCTGATCTGGATAATAATAATTGTTGTTGTTGTTATTATTATTATTTTGTTATAATTTATTTATTACTGGCCTCTCCTTACAGTTCAAGGCAGAGCACCGCACAGTTAAAATATATCATTATACTAAAATATATATTAAAACATATTTTACGCATATTAAAATATATAGAAATAAAGCACAATAAACATAGAATGTGAATTGAAAAATCATAGTTAAAAACTGACTGGTTAGGCCTGCTGCTTCATCCAGGAATCGTCCCCATAACGACAAAACTAAATGCCATTACCTTTTCTATTTCTGGACTCTTTTTCTCCCGAATCTCTTGTTAAAATTAGTTTCATTATGGGCATCGGGTAAAATCATAGCTTGGGTTAAGATGTCACAATGAACCATGTTTTAAACAAACCAGGATCCATAGTAAAGGTAAAGGTTTCCCCTGACATTAAGTCTAATCATGTCTGACTCTCGAGGGTGGTGCTCATCTCCATTTTTAAGCTGAAGAGCCGACATTGTCCATAGACACCTCCAAGATCATGTGGTTGGCATGACTGCATGGAGCACTGTTACCTTCCCACCTATTGAACTATTCACACTTGCATGTTCTCGAACTGCTAGGTTGGCAGAAGCTGGGTCTAACAGTGGGAGCTCACCCCGCTCCCCAGATTTGAACTGCCAACCTTTCGATCAGCAAGTTCAGCAGCTCAGTGGTGTAACCCGCTGCACTACCGGTGGACCCAAATAAGCCTACATCAAACTATGAGTTGCAACTTGAGCTTACCATGGCTAGAAATCATGGCTTGTTTGCAGCGATGGGTTACACCAAAACCAACAAACCAGATTGCAATGGACCAAGACACAATGAATGTCCTGAATATTTGCAAGCCTGAATGCATTTACATAGAATAATAAAATCCCAATAGTCCAAATGCTGAAAGTGAGAAGAATGCGTGCAGCAAATTTTTTGATGCCATTAATGATTTCCCCCAGGTCTTCACTTCAATTTGGGTTGCGCAGATTGGATCTTTACATATTTTCGGAAAACGTGTGCACACCTTGGTGTGTTCATATCCATAAATCACAAACATTGTAAGGAATGCCTGACATTCTTTGTTGACGAATTGTACACATTGTAGTTCTTGATATAACCACTGCATGAAAAATACGGAGCCAAGCCAAGGTAAACAGAAGTAACATGCATCCCACTGCCATTAACGATATATATAATGCGCCGTCTCCTGCCACACGTTGCTGTGGCCCAGTCTGTGTATATGTGATTTGTGTGTGTATATATGTGTATGTGTGTGTGTGTATTTCTATATATGTGTATATATGTGTGTTTGCGTATATATATGTGGTTATGCAAATGCATTGTAATGTATTTTTTTGGCTTGTAATTTCTCTTCTGCTGTGTTTTTCAGTGTTTTTATAGGTGATGGTCACTCGTTGGCCTGAGAGGTGCATTGTGTCCAAATTTGGTGTCAATTCGTCCAGTGGTTTTTGAGTTATGTTCATCCCACAAACGAACATGACATTTTTATTTATATAGACTAGCTGTCCCCTGCCACGCGTTGCTGTGGCCCACATGGGTGTTCTGTGTGGGAAGTTCAGCCCAATTCTATTGTTGGTGGGGTTCAGAATGCTCTGTGATTGAAGGTGAACTGTAAATCCCAGCAACTACAACTCCCAAATGTCAAGGTCTATTTTCCCCAAACTCCACCAGTGTTTACATTTGAGCATATAGAGTATTCATGTAGAGTTTGGTCCAGATCCATCATTGTTTTAGTCCACAGTGATCTCTGGATGTAGGTGAACTACAACTCCAAAACTAAAGGACACTGCCCACCAAACCCTTCCAGTATTTTCTGTTGGTCATGGGAGAACTGTGTGCCAAATTGGCTTCAGTTCCATCATTGGTGGGGTTCAGAATGCTCTTTGATTGTCGGTGAACTATAAATCCCAGCAACTACAACTCCCAAATGACAAAATCAATGTTTTTGAGTGATGAACATACATTGGGTTGTTAGGTGTCTTGTGTCCAAATTTGGTGTCAATTCGTCCAGTGGTTTTTGAGTTCTGTTAATCCCACAAACAAACGTTACATTTTTATTTATATAGATATATGCCGTCTCCTGCCACCCGTTGCTGTGGCCCAGTCTGTGTGTATGTGTTTTGTGTGTGTATATATGTGTATATGTGTGTGTGTGTATTTCTGTATATGTGTATATGTGGTTTTGCACATGGATTGTAATGTATTTTTTGGCTTGTAATGTCTCTTCTGCTGTGTTTTCCAGCTTTTTTATGAGTGATGGTCACTTATTGGCCTGAGAGGTGTCTTGTGTCCAAATTTGGTGTCAATTCGTCCAGTGGTTTTTGAGTTCTGTTAATCCCACAAACGAACATTACATTTTTATTTATATAGATATATATCCCCCTGTCTCCTTGCCTTCCGTGCCTCGCTGTCCCCGACGTTCAGGTATCCATTGGGCAGGTTGGCCGAAACAGGGAGGTGCTGCTCTGAGGTCAGGATCCGGCCATCCTTCAGCAAGGGAAGCCAGGAAAAGCCCACTGAAAAGACAGCAATGTGCAAGGGAGGATGAGCATGCTTTTTAAGATTAGGGGGAGGACCCCATGTGATGAGGGCCAATTCAAAGTAACTCCAGATACTTCATCTAGGCAACAAAAATGCCAAATGTTGGCAAAAGGAACAACCCAGGAGCAAACATTGTGTTACATAGTGCAATCAAGATGCTTTCCTCTCTTTTGGATTCCCACCCAAACTCGAAGGAAAAAGGGCCTGGGTTCGAACTGCAATGGTACCTGTCGCCTCGACTGCGTCCTGCTTCTTCGCAGCCCCTTTTGTGTTGACTTCGCAGCTGACATGATAGAAGGTGAAAAGCAAATGATGCCTTGGATGGAGGTGGATGGGGAGCTCGGTTTTAATCTACAATGACAGCATGAGAGATGGGTGCGCCAGTTGCGTTTCGGGAATGCACTTTCAAAGCATCAATATTGCATTGGATTCATGAACACCATCAGTGGACACAACTTTGTACATCCTTAAACCTATTTCCTGGCCAGTGTTAGATCCAAAACAAATGGCCTTGGTTTTACACTGAATCTAGACTGCCATATAATCCAGTTTCTGAATCCAGATGATCTGCTTTGAACTGGATTATGTGAGTCTACGTTGCCATATAATCCCGTTTTTGAAACCAGATGATCTGCTTTGAACTGGATTATATGAGTCTACACTGCCATATAATCCAGTTTTTGAAACCAAATGATCTGGTTTGAACTGGTTTATGTGAGTATACATTGCCATATTAATCCAATTTCTGAATCCAGATGATCTGCTTTGAACTGGATTATATGAGTCTACACTGCCATATAATCCAGTTTTTGAAACCAGATGATCGGCTTTGAACTGGTTTATGTGAGTATATGTTGCCATATTAATGATCTCCTTTGAACTGGTTTATGTGAGTATACGTTGCCATGTTAATCCAGTTTCTGAATCCAGATGATCTACTTTGAATTGGATTATGTGAGTCTACACTGCCATATAATCCAGTTTTTTAATCCAGATGATCTGCTTTGAACTGGTTTATGTGAGTATACGTTGCCATATTAATCCAGTTTCTGAATCCAGATGATCTACTTTGAATTGGATTATGTGAGTCTACACTGCCATATAATCCAATTTTTGAATTCAGATGATCTGCTTTGAACTGGATTATAGGAGTCCACACTGCCATATAATCCAGTTCAAAGCAGACAATCTGGATTCAGAAACTGGATTGTAGGGCAGTGTAGATCCAACCTTAGTCATATTGAATTCTTATCTTATATCTCAATTATCATTTGCCTATTACTTTCATATATTAAAATATTTACATATCCTCCCTCACACATACCATAAACAGCAACGGAATCCATTAAAAACCACATTAAAAAATAATGAGGGTGTATCCGAGCCCAGGGCAAACTTCAGCTCTCCAGATATTTTGGACTTCAACTCCCATAATTCCTAAGCTGCTAGGAAGTGTGGGAGTTGAAGTCCAAAACACCTGGAGGGCCGAAGTTTGCCCACGGCAACACTGTAGAATTACAGCAATTTGCTTCCACTTTAATTGTTGTGGCTTCATCCAATTGAATGATGGGATTTGTAGTCTGGTGAGGCAGAAGAGTAATCTAATTGACAACGTATGAATCCAACGGATGACGCCATAGCCATTAAAGCAGAACCAACGTGATACAGTTCTGCAATGCCTAGAAAGTCCATTAGACCACTTAACAAGAGAAAAGAAGATGGTTCAATTGCAATTAAACCACAAATGAATACAGATTGGCATTAAAATATTGGCTTCGGGGAAGGATTGTGTTTTTACTTGGGACCAGAATTAATGCTATCTGCATCATGGCTCATTTTAGAATCTAAATGGAGAGTTGTAGATGCAATGGATTAAAGGGTTCGATTGCTCTTACCTCGTCATAAAATTCAGGGTTCTGATTATGATGCAAGACACAAGCGAAGGCACTTGAGGTCAGAAGTGGACCCCCAGGCTTCCCATAGAAACACTGCAAGAGAGAACGCAGATCCATTAGGGCCAGTGGAAAAGGGACTGCACTGCAGCGGAGCATTTGGGTAAAGGATAACTATGAGGGGTGATCATTCAAGATTTCCCCTGACCCACTTCCTCCGGACTGAGAGCAATGAAAGTTGGCCCAGTTGCGACTCCTTCTCTCCGTAGGTGCCACCTAGGGACACACACTTCTCCCATCTTTTTAAGCAATTGTAAACACCTCGCTTGTAGAAGTCAACAGGTTGCTCCAAAAGCGATGTTGTGACTTCAGAAATCCGTCTCATCATCTGAAAAGTGCTTACCCTTCCAAAATAACTTCCTTGTTGGAAAGAGGTGGAAGTCCGATGGTGCGAGGTCGGGTAAATAAAGGGGATGCGGGAGAATGTCTAAGCCACAGGAGCACGCTTCTTCCATTTGGGCAACAGGTGAGTTGTGAACTGGTGCATTGTCTTGCAGAAAGCGGACACCTTTAGTGAGCTTGCCACATTGTCTCTTGGTTTGGATGACCTCCCTCAATTTCTGCAGCAGTGAAGCCTAATATGCCCCAGTGATCATGGGACCCTTTGCTAGGAAATCCATCAATCCAACTCTGTGCGGGTCCCAAAATACTGCGAGCATGACCTTGCCTGCTAAGAGTTGGGCACATGCCTTCTTTGGAGGTCATGAGTCAAGAAGCTTCCATTGCATCTGTCACAAGAAATTCAATGTGCAGATTTGATAAATGTGGATTTAATATGATGTGTGGGAATGAATGGAAGAATGGAAGGATGTATGAATGGAGTTAATAATTTTGGAGACACCAGTGTAATATTAAGGTCTGCAATTATTAAATACCTGCTTGCTGGACTTGCTAATGAGAAACCCTGATAAGAACTGGGACAGTGATAAAGGAAATGTTTGCAACCTTCCTTATGTTAAGAAGGAAGTCAACACAAGTCTTGTGTTTGTTAACACCAATCAAAAAGAGTCAACATCTGGCCAGGAAACTGAGATGTAGCCAGGATGAATGTCGTATATCATTAATTTACAACTTTGGGATTACATCAACAGAATAGTCCTATAATAGACTCAGTCTTATAATGCTCAAAGTGTGACCAACCTGAGGAGTCTGGTTCATCCGCCATGCTCTGCTCCATGGGAAGGAGAGAGATAGTGTACCTATGGATAGTGGCAGATTTTCATGGGAACAGTCTTGTCACTTTGGGGCTTCTTTCTCAAGGGAAGAGGAAGAAGCATGCTTTTGGAGTCTTAGATTTTGTTCAAGGAGTCAGGTTCTGCTGTTTGGAAAACAGAAATCTGGTCCTTGGCATTGTTCTTAAGGAAAGAAGTTTTGGCATTTCGGCGTTTTGAAGTTTTGGCATTATGGACGTTTTGGAACTAGGCATTGGCAGGTTGCAGGAAATCGGGTCTGGCCTAACAGGTGTTTCTCCAAGGAGGGAGAAAAGGATATGGTAATATTTTGGATGCATGTGGATGAATGCATGTTCATGTGTGTGAATGAGTGAAAATGTAATTCCCCTTTGTTTGTTTGTTAACCAATGTAATTGTAAATCCAATGTAGTTGCATAGAATCTGTATGTTTGTATGTCCAATGTCATTCTTTGTCTAAATGTTTTTCTGTAATCTGATATACCTTCTCACACTGGAAATTGCAATAAAAAGAACCTATGCTTCAAAGTCATTGAAAAGTCATTCATGACATAATCCATGCTTCCATTGCATGATGCTTCCATTGCATCCATTCCATTCTATAGATACCCAGTCACTTCGTCTCTCTAACCCTGCCACCCCTAGGACTTTCCTTCATAGAATCATAGAATCCTAGAGTTGGAAGAGACCTCATGGGCCATCCAGTCCAACCCCCTGCCATAAAATAGGGTTGGGTTCCTCAAACCCAACTCTATTTTATGTGTAGCCCTAACTTAAAACACCAATAAAAAACTATGAAAAAAGAGAGAGAGTTAGGCATGTGCCTTCTTTGGAGATGGTGGGTTCCATTACATCGACTGGACTTGAGTCTCAGGATCAGAGTGGTGGACCCAGCTTCCATCCTGCATGATCAGTCTGTTGAAAAAGTCCTCCTGGTTTCCATGGCACATCATTGTCAAGTGAGCCAGAGAACATTTGACTCCTTCCTGCTTCTGGAAAGCTGTGAACAGCCAGGGGAGCCAGCAAACAGATACCTTATGCAGGTGAAGATGGTCTTGGGTGATTTTTTTCCACGGATCCCAAACTTAACTTGACATTTTTGGCTAGATGGCGAATGGTTATGCAGCGATTTCCCAAAATGACAACCTCCACTTGCTGGGTGGTGCGTTCATCAATAGCAGAGTGGGGTCACCCTGGAATTGGAGCTGTTTGCACCGAAGTCCGATCACATTGGAATGAACGATGCCAGTTCTTGACTCCATCATATGATGGGGAATAATCACCACAAACCTCTTTCATCTCATCCAATGTCTCCTTTGGTGTGTGGCCTTTCAAGGAAAGGAACTTGAGGACTGCTCTGTCTTCCACTGGGTCCATTTTCAAACCTCACACCACTTCAGCACCTCCAAAATCAAGACCGTTATGAGTTCTGAGTTGTAAATTGGCACGTAACCTATAGAGACTTATATCATTACGCATGAGCAGTTTCAGCGTCCTGTGATAAATAGAAGTGGGTCAGGTGAAATCTTTAATGAACGCCCCTCGTATTTCATGCAATATATGAAACCCCACTCCATAAATGCTGCTTGAAAATCTACCTTCAAAGCTTTGGAGTCCCCTTCGTCGGAGTCTTTGAATTCCACCCGGACGGCAATGTTCCTCGCCTGGATTGGCAAAAGGAGAAGCGAGGAGAAAGTCTAAACTCTGAAGCAAAAAGTTTGTTGGAATGTTCGCCACCTTATATAAATAGTAGTCTGAATCCTCTTTAAATGAACCCTGGGATTTGTAGTTTGGGGAATTCAATCCTCAGCAATCTACCCATTCAATTTTGTTTTTATCAGTTACACAGTAAACCAATCTATGAGTAAACAGTAAACAATCCATGCAGAATGCCTGCCATAGATGTGGGCGAAATGTCAGGAGAGAATGCTTCTGGAACATGGCCATACAGCCCAGAAAACTCACAGCAATGCAAACATTGTTGGTCAGTTTAACTAATGGATTTAAGCTTACATTTTTATCGCTATGGATGATCTTAATATCTTTTCATCTCAAGTCTATATTTTAAATCTATATCTTTATATATTTACTAGCTGTACCCGCCACGCGTTGCTGTGGTCAACTTTCCCTCTCTCTTTCTCTCCTTCTTTCCCTCCTTCCTTTGCTCCCTCCTTCCTTCCTTCCTTCCTTCCCTTTTTTTTCTTTCTCTCCTTCCTTCTTTCTCTACCTCTTTCCTTCCTCTCTTTTTCTTTTCCTTCCCTTTCTCTCCTTTCTTCCTTCATTACCTCTTTCCTTTCTTTGCTTTTTGCTTCTATCCTTCCTTCTGTCTTTCCTTCTTTCCTGCCCTCCCTCTTTCTCACCTTGGCAAAGGTTTTCTGGCTGTCATACTTTAAATGCAAAGGGTAGATGTAGAGCTGGTTCTTGTAGACAGTGAAAGGGTGGGAATACTTTGCAATTTCAGGGACGAATTCCTCCACCTCGACGGCCACTTCACCCCCGGGATCCGGCTTTTCGAAGGGTTTGATGGGGACATAAGACGCCGTAAGACAATCTGGAAATCAAGTATGAATAATTATCCATATCTAACCTTTTCTCCAAGCTGAAACTTTGGAAAGCTCGTGGTTTCCCAAATATAAACCCCTTACTTGGAATGTCCAATGGGACACACTGCAACGTAATATTTAACTGGCCGGGTATCACTTGCAACTTCGTCTTCTCCGGCCTGTATAAATAAGAAAATAAAGCAATTATTTACGTATTTATTTCAAAGAATTCTTCCCTTTTCTCTAAAAGCAGCTCATAATAATCAAGGGTCTGGAGAACAAGACTTATGAGGAGCGGCTTAAAGAGCTAGGCATGTTTAGCCTGAAGAAGAGAAGGATGAGAGGAGATATGATAGCCATGTATAAATACGTGAGAGGAAGTCACAGGGTGGAGGGAGCAAGCTTGTTTTCTGCTGTCCTGGAGACTAGGACACGGAACAATGGCTTCAAACTACAAAAGAGGAGATTCCATCTGAACATGAGGAAGAACTTCCTGACTGTGAGAGCCGTTCAGCAGTGGAACTCTCTGCCCTGGAGTGTGGTGGAGGCTCCTTCTTTGGAAGCTTTTAAACAGAGTCTGGATGGCCATCTGTCAGGGGTGATTTGAATGCAACATTCCTGCTTCTTGGCAGGGGATTGGACTGGATGCCTCATGAGATCTCTTCCAACTCTTTGATTCTATGATTCTAATTAAAAGCAAGTATAATGGGAATGTCGAAGGTTTTCATGGCCGGAATCACTGGGTTGTTGTAGGTTTTTTCAGGCTATATGGCCATGTTCTAGAGACATTCTCTCCTGACGTTTCGCCTGCATCTATGGCAAGCATCCTCAGAGGTAGTGAGGTAGAGGTAGTGAGCACCTCTGAGGATGCTTGCCATAGATGCAGGTGAAACGTCAGGAGAGAATGCCTCTAGATCATGGCCATACAGCCCGAAAAAAACCTACGACAACCTATAATGGGAATGTGCAGAAGAATCAATGCAGTTTGGCACCACTTTAACTGCCACAGGATTCTGGGATCTGTAGTATGGTGAGACACTAGCCCTCTTGGACAGAGAATAACAACAGTAGCAGCAACAACAACAATAATGAATGTATCACTCACCTCTCCCTGCAGATAAAAGATCAAGACCTTGCAAAACTATAATTCCCAGGATTCCATACCATTGAGTCAGTAAAAGTGGTATCAAACTGCATCAAGTCTACAATGCAGATATGCTGCTTTCCCAAAATCAGACAAACTGATTTTGACTTACCCAAAAAAAGTAGCATCCATCAATATAAACCAGAGTCACCAACGGGATCCCAGCCCATTATGTGAAACTATTGTCAGGATTAATTTAGTTATGTATGTGTTTTAAATGTGCTTCTATGTATTGCCAATATGGATGCCACTATGAATTAGAAATGCTGTGCAGAATGTTTATACTATGAGGCTGTGATTAAGTGAACTTGAGAAAAGTAAGATAAGGTTTGCTCTTGCTGGGAACAGAAGGGAGTAACCAGTCTCAGCAAGAGAAGATAAGCAGATGTGAAGAGGCTTTCGTTTTGACTAGTTCCTGAATTGTAGCTCGCTGTAGTAAGACGTGTCTGTTGAATGTGCTTAGTAAACTTAGTTTTCTTTTGTAACTCAAAGCCTGCAGAGTCCTTATTTTGCAACTCAGTGTCTGCTGATCTAGCATTCCTTCCGCTGGGCATCATCTGACTCTGACAACTATAATTCCCAGAATTCCATAGCATCAAGCCAATAAAACTGGTTTCAAGCTCAATTAAGACTACAATGTAGATGCGCCCCTAGACACTGTGTGTTATGGTTTCCTTTCCCTTTGCAGCCCAGACAGATTGCTTTTTGACTTACCCAAAAAAGGGACCATCCATCAATATAAACGTAACCACCAACAGGATTCTAGCCCCCATTATGTGAAACTATAACTCCCAGAATTCCATAGGACTGAGCCAATAAAAGTGGTTTCAAGCTGCATTCATTCCACAGTGTAGCTGCACCCCCATTTGGTGGAGAACAATAGTCAATGCTTTCCAGGGACCTGCTGTGGCTTCTCCGATCACTTACTTCTTATATTCCGCCAACAGTTTGAGCAAATCTTCGATCGAAAGCCGGCTGCTGTCCTGCTTATAGAGAGGAGAGAATTTCCCATCTAGATCCAACGTTCCTTGAGAGTCTTTGAAGACTGGTCTGGAGAAAGGAAAACAAGGAGTTTATAACGTACAACAGAGAAAGCAATGTCCGCAAATCGCTTCCTTAAAGTTTGGACTAAAAACCAGAGCAGAGCGGATAGCTTGTAACCCCTTCTAGCTTGCAGCGGAGGCAGGGAAATGTGTCCAAAATGCACTCACCGGGCGGCCCATGCAAACGGCATCCGGTATTGTCCGAGGCGGCTGCAGACCAGTTTGGCAACCTTGTGGACCTTCTGCGCCGTCTGCAAGAAACAAGACACCTGAGGACGGACTGGAGTGAAATGCTTCGAGATGTTTTAGGGGTTCAAGGGAAGCTCCGAAAGCAGAAAATATGTCATGAAATCCAAAAGTAAACATAAGGTTATGTCAAAATGGTTCAGCATGATAGTCATCTAGGGTTGCATCTACACAGTAGTATTAATGTAGTTTCATTATTTTTTTTTCTTTTCTTTTAATGTCATGTTGATAATGTTGTTGTTGTTTGCTGTGTATGTTTTGATTTTATTGCTGTATTATGTTGTACGGGTTTGGCCCCATGTAAGCCGCTCCAAGTCCCCATCGGGGAGATGGTGACGGGGTAGAAATAACGATTATTATTATTATTATTATTATTATTATTATTATTATTATTATTCCTCTTTCACTGCCATGGTTCAAGGTGATTAAAGTCTGGGGGTGGATCTACACTGCCATATAAGTGGCCCCCACTGACAATGGACCAGGACCAAACTTGGCACAGAGTACCCCCATGACCAAATGGACATACTGCAGATATTTGTGGGAATTGACCTTGACTTTGGGAGTTGTAGTTCACCTGTATCCAGAGAGCACTGAACTCAACCTTCATTGGATCTGGACCAAACGCGGCATACAGACTCAACATGGCCAACTGTGAACAGTGACAGAGTTTGGGATTGATTGCCCTGGAAATCAGGGAGTTGTAGTTCTCCCTTATCCAGATAGCACTGAACCCAGCTGACATCAGATCTGAACCAAACTTGGCACACAGTCCCAACATGGACAACTGTGAATACTGGCAGAGTTTGGGGTTCACTGCCCTGGGAATCTGGGAGTTGTAGTTCACCATTATCCAGAGAGCAGTGAACCCAGCTGATGTCAGATCTGGACCAAACTTGGCACACAGACCCAACATGGCCAACTGTGAATACTGGCAGAGTTTGGGTTTGATTGTCCTGGGAATCTGGGAGTTGTAGTTCACCGTTATCCAGAGAGCAGTGAACCCAGCTGACGTCAGATCTGGACCAAACTTGGCACACAGACCCAACATGGCCAACTGTGAATACTGGCAGAGTTTGGGTTTGATTGTCCTGGGAATCTGGGAGTTGTAGTTCACCATTATCCAGAGAGCAGTGAACCCAGCTGACGTCAGATCTGGACCAAACTTGGCACACAGACACAACATGGCCAACTGTGAATACTGGCAGAGTTTGGGGCTGATTGCCCTGGGAATCTGGGAGTTGTAGTTCACCGTTATCCAGAGAGCAGTGAACCCAGCTGACGTCAGATCTGGACCAAACTTGGCACACAGACACAACATGGCCAACTGTGAATACTGGCAGAGTTTGGGGCTGATTGCCCTGGGAATCTGGAAGTTGTAGTTCACCATTATCCAGAGAGCAGTGAACCCAGCTGATGTCAAATCTGGACCAAACTTGGCAACAGACCCAACATGGCCAGCTGTGAATAGTGGCAGAGTTTGGGTCTGATTGCCCTGGGAATCTGGGCAATGTTGTTGTTCATTTGTTCAGTCATTTCCAACTCTTCGTGATCTCATGGACCGGCCCACGCCAGAGCTCCCTGTCGGCCGTCGCCACCCCCAGCTCCTTCAAGGTCAATGCAGTCACTTCAGAGTTGTAGTTGTTGTTCACCATTATCCAGAGAGCACTGAACCCAACCAACGACAGATTTGGTCCAAACTTATTACCAAACATCCCAAAACAAACAATGCCTTCTTCTAATAACTGGGTCTGCTGTCATGTACTGGGCCTATAGCAATTGGCTTTTGAACAGGACGTGCTCTTTGTGCCCAGCGGGAAGCCGGGGTGCCTCAGCTGAGAGGCCCTAAGGATTTTCCTATACAGAGCCTTTAGAAGCTTGAAAGGTTTAACAAAGTCCTTTATTATTGCTTAAGTCTTCAACAAACAATCAAATACTTCTTAGATCTTCAACAAATTAAACAAATGCTTCAAGGCTTTGAATCAACTGGTGGGCACCTTGCTTGGAGAACTATTTCTTTCTTTAACAAGGAAAACCCTTTTTGACCCCTCCCGGGCAATCTGTTTTCTAGGCTCTGCTGGTGTGGGCCCTACTCCCGGCTCCAATTGCTTCTGGTTACCCGAGTAGACCTACCAGCCAAGACCTTGTAGATTTTCCAGCTGGAGTCCTTTTGGATTTTCTCCACGAATGATATGGATCTGTATCTTTAACCCCAACAAGGGTTGTGCTGTAAAACTGTTTTCCTTAGAAGCTTTAGGGCTGTTTCCCCCGGATGTTGTGAGAAACAAAGCTTCTCTACAGGTGGGGAAAGCTCACGTCCTGTAACTGGGCTTCCAAAACTGAAAGACTGCCTGAAATCTTTCTTTTCCCTCCCAGAGCCCTGGGGAAAGGGGCGGAACTAAAGAACATAATGATGATTGACGGGTCATTGGCCCTATAATTGCAGAGCAAGGGAAACCACCTTATTGCAAAATGCATGGAACCTTGGAATACATGCAAACACTCAATAGAAAGAAAATGAAGTAGGAGCTCCTGGTACAGCCATATCAGCACACCGGGCATTCCTGGGTCCCCAAGCTAGTGTAGCATAAATCTCAGGAAGGCAGAAGTACAATCACTGCTATGCATATGGAATGCATTTTGGATGCATTTTTAAACTGTACTGTCACCTGTTCACATTTGTCAAAGGTATGCATTATTTGATGCATAGGAAACCTAACAAAAGCTTTAGGAAGTTTGCAAGGAAGGTGTATTTTGTCCTGCAATGAACTGCCAAACAGACAAAAATGGGTCATTCTTGCAAGGGTATTGGCACCCATAATGCATTCCCCCATCCTAATGACCAAGTTGTAACTTGACTGTGACATAACCTACTGTAGTGAAATTGCACTCTATGTTAAAGTTTTGGTGTATAGCTCTATGTTTACATATGGCAGATAGGGAAGAATAGGCACAGACAGGGTAGCAACAGCAGAAATAGGATTCATTTGCATATGTGAAGCCAATTGGTCATATGCAGATTAGTGTAGGCCCAGGATTTGAAAAGGCTGCTAGGCCAAAATGACAGTTGGGGAGAGCAAAGCTGAACATTCCAAAGGGGCGGAGTCAAGGTTCTGAAAGAGGCAGTTAGAGTGAGGGAGTTTGAAAATGACAGTTAGGAATCTGTGTGTGAAGAGGAGAGTTGGTTTTTGAGTGCCTGATAGAAATAAGCAGTTATGAAGATGTGTTAAAGACTTCTGATATAGAGAAGCAGTTAGTTAAATAGAGCTCGAGTTTTAAGGAACATAAAGAAGGCTAGTGTTGCCTTAGTTCAGAATATAATTCAAACAAGAGTGTGTAAAGCAAGTAACATGAATATGAAACGTTGATAGTTTATTCAGAAAAGTTAACCAAGTAAATGATATTGACTGTAAGCCTCAAGATTGCAACAAAACACAAATGTAACCACAAGCGTTGGAGCCAGAAGTTATAAATAAACTGTGTTACTTTGTTATACACAAGAGTGTTTCATTGCCTGGGATATAAAGTACAATGGTTTAACAGCACACAGAAAGTCCCAGCCAATATAAAAGAAGAAACTGAAGCTGTATAAGGCAGCAAAGAAGTTTTTAAAAGAGGAAATAGTCTCTCTCCCTTGCCTCACCTACCTTTACAGGGTCCGAGTTCTTGATATATGGCTCCGTACAGTGTGTGATGCTCCCTTGGAGGACCTTCTCCACCCGGGCCACCAGGAAGATTTCTGGGTGAGGGTTGGCGACCGAGAAGACCCCCTTTGCAGAAAAGAGACAGAGCAGAGCGTCAGAACCTACAAAGCACATCAGAGGCGTCTCAGACACCAGGGAGCATGCGTCAGTCTGATCAATAGAGGAATGGCAGAGCTGGGAGGAAGCTGCTCTAGGCATCAGTAGGTCCTCCAGGGTGAGTCCATGGGATCCAAATCTTTTTGCAAAGAACTGAAAGTTTCCAAACTTGCAATATTTGCTGACCATTCCTTGAATTTTCCAATGGCACTAACGTAAGAATAACAATGCTAACCTTGGGTGTATCAACACTGTTTTTTTACAAATCACGTGCCTTATATCTATGTTTACAATACATTTTCAGATAATGGTTGACTTTCAAAAACTTGGATTTCCTGCTGAACTTGCTGACCAAAAGAATACAGGGAATAAGACAAAGTGGGGATGGGAAGTAATCCAAGAGTAGTATCTGGAAGATGCCATAGATCCCAAAGTCCTTACTTGCTTGACGTAGCGCAAACACGATTCCGTGACTTTGTCCAAAAAGTGGTTGTTTAGGGGGCTATTTCCAGGATCTTGAGCGGAGACCTCCGGCAGCATCTCTTGGACAGGAGACGGGTTCAAATCCACGTGGAAATCCGCCGAAATCTTGCAACCGTTTTTCAAATCGAACAAAGCCAGGCTGAGGAAAAATGGCTCCACCTGCATAATAATGCAAGGAAGGTAGGGTTTACTGACCTTATTTTTATATACGAACTGCATCCTTAGATAACATCGCAAGGTCCGCCACTTCTGACTCAGTCACGACTACCAATCCCAGAATCCCCAGAGTGGTAACTTGAACACATTAGTGCAGGCATGGGCAAACTTTGGCCCTCCAGGTGTTTTGGACTGCAGCTCCCACAATTCCTAACAGCCGGTAGAAATTAATGTAGTGCCAAACTGCATTAATTCTGCAGTGTAGATGCCTCCCTGTTTAACCCTATGTTAGATGTTTTACCCCTCTGGAGGTTTTTTAACAATATAGAAATCATAATAAAAATGGCTCCAAGATGGCATACGTTTGTTGGCGGATCCTTCGCCTGGTCGTTCAGTTGGGCCACAAGGTTGAAAGTCAAGGCATGGCAGTTCACGAGGAAGCGCTGGCTGCATTTTTCCTCAAACGGCTTCACGTCTGGCTCAATCCCGGAGAAATCCAGCCTCTGAGGAAGAAGGAAGGTGCCTTTATAGCAGTGGTTTATTATTTATTTATTTACTTTATTTATATACCGCTTTTCTCAGCCCTTGAGTGACTCAAAGCGGTTAACAATAGCAAAATTCAATGCTCAACATCATAAAACAGTTAGAAACAATGATATAATAAACAATCAGTCAAACATAACTATAACATCTCATTAGTGTCTCATAGGTAGAATCAAGATCCAATCTCATAATCCGTTGTTCCATGTTCCTATATTCAATACACTGCCTATTCAAATGTCTGCTCGAACAACCAGGTCTTCACTTTCCTCCGAAATGCCAACAGGGAGGGGGCCGATCTAATTTCTGTAGGAAGGGTGTTCCATAGCCGAGGGGCCACCACTGAGAAGGTCCTGTCTCTCGTCCCTGCCAGACGTACTTGTGATGCAGGCGGGACTGAGAGCAGGGCCTCCCCAGATGATCTTAACGTCCTAGCGAGTTCATAGGAGCAGATGCGTTCGGAGAGGTAGGTTGGGCCAGAACCGTTTAGGGCAGTGTTTCTCAACCTGGGGGTCGGGACGCCTGTGGGGGTCGCAAGGGGGTGTCAGAGGGGTCACCAAAGACCATCAGAAAACATACTATTATCTGTTGGCCATGGGGGTTCTGTGTGGAAAGTTTGGTCCAATTTTATCAGTGGGGTTCAGAATGCAATTTCATTGTGGGTGAACTATAAATCCCAGCAATTACAACTCCCAAATGTCAAGGTCTATTTTCTCCAAACTCTAACAGTGTTCACATTTGGGCATATTGAGTATTTGTGCCAAGTTTGATCCAGAACCATCATAGCTCAAGTCCACAGTGTTCTCTGGACGTAGGTGAACTACAACTCCAAAAACTCAAGGTCAATGTCCACCAGACCTTCCCAGTATTTTCTCTTGGTCATGGGAATTCTGTGTGCCAAGTTTGATTCAATTCCATCATTGGTGGAGTTCAAAAGGCTCTCTGATTGTAGGTGAGCTATAAATCCCAGCAACTCCAGCATTACCAAATGACAAAATCAATCACCTCTAACCCCACCAGTATTCAAATTTGGGCGTATCAGGTATTTGTGCCAAATTTAGTCCAGTGACTGAAAATACATTCATAACAGTAGCAAAATGATAGTAATGAAGTAGCAGTGAAAAGAATGTTATGGTTGGGGGTCACCACAACATGAGGACCTGTACTAAGGGGTCGCGGCATTAGGAAGGTTGAGAACCACTAGTTTAGGGCTTTATAGGCTAATGCCAGCATTTTGAATTGTGCCCGGTAGCAAACTGGCAGCCAGTGGAGCTGGCGCAACAGAGGAGTAGTATGCTCCCTGAGCACCGCTCCTGTCAGTATCCTGGCTGCCGAATGTTGGACCATTTGAAGCTTCTGAACAGTCTTCAAAGGCAACCCCACGTAGAGAGTGTTGCAGTAATCTATATGGTATGTAACCAGAGCATGGACTACCATGGCCAAGTCAGACTTCCCAAGGTACGGGCGCAGCTGGTGCACAAGTTTTAACTGTGCAAATGCTCCCCTGGTCACCGCTGAAACCTGGGGTTCCAGGCTCAGCGATGGGTCCAGGATCACTCCCAAGCTGCGAACCTGCGTCTTCAGGGGGAGTGTGACCCCATCCAACACAGGCTATAACCCTATACCCTGTTTGGCCTTGCGACTGACCAGGAGTATCTCTGTCTTGTCTGGATTCAATTTCAATTTGTTCGCCCTCATCCAGACCGTCACAGCGGCCAAGCACCGGTTCAGGACCTGAACAGCCTCCTTAGTAGCAGGAGGAAAGGAGTGACAGAGTTGGACATCATCCGCGTACGGATGACATTGCACCCCGAAACTCCGGATGATCTCCCCCAGCGGCTTCATGTAGATCAGTGATTCTCAACCTTCCGAATGCCGCGACCCCTTTGTACAGGTCCTCATGTTGTGGTGACCCCCAACCATAATATTATTTTCGTTGCTACTTCACAACTGTAATTTTGCTACTATTATGAATGGTAATCTAAATATCTGATGTGCAGGATGTATTTTCAGTCACTGGACCAAATTTGGCCCAAATACCCAATACTCCCAAATTTGAATACTGGTGAGGTTGGGGGTGATTGATTTGGTCATTTGGTAATGCTGGAGTTGCTGGGATTTATAGTTCACCTAAAATCAAAAAGCCTTCTGAACTCCATCAATGATGGAATTGAATCAAACTTGACACACAGAATTCCCATGACCAAGAGAAAATACTGGGAAGGTCTGGTGGACATTGACCTTGAGTTTTTTGGAGTTGTAGTTCACCTACATCCAGAGAACACTGTGGACTCAAGCAATGATGGATCTGGATCAAACTTGGCACAAATACTCAATATGCCCAAATGTGAACACTGGTAGAGTTTGGGGAAAATAGACCTTGACATTTGGGAGTTGTAGTTGCTGGGATTTATAGTTCACCTGCAATAAAATAGCATTCTGAACCCCAACGATAGAATTGGACCAAACTTTCCACACAGAACCCCCATGACCAACAGAAAATACTAGGTTTTCTGATGGTCTTTGGCGACCCCTCTGACACCCACTCGCGACCCCCATGGGGGTCCCGACCCTCAGGTTGAGAAACACTGATGTAGATGTTAAACAACATGGGAGACAATATTGAGCCCTGAGGAACCCCACAACACAATGGTTGTGGAGTTGAACATGTGTCTCCCAATAATACCTTCTGAGATCGGCCCTCTATGAAGGACCGGAGCCACTGCAAAACAGTACCTCCAAGGCCCATTCCCGTGAGGCATCCCAGAAGGATATCGTGGTTGACGGTATCCTTCAACCACGAGGTCCATCAGAACCAACAGGGACACACTCCCCCTGTCCAGCTCCCGGCGTAGATCATCCACTAAGGCGACCAAGATTGTCTCGGTTGAATGTGAATGTAACAATCCTATGTTTTACTGGCATTTGTATTTGTATGTATACATTGAACGTCTATGTGTTTAAATACTTTTGTATCACTGCAATGAATGGATACTGGTCTTTCTAGTTCCAAGGGACCCTATTTTCCTTTTCCGTTCTGCCTTGAGAGATTGCCTTATGGTTCACCTTCGCTGTAGGATGAGTGCAGTTTGACACCACTTGAAGTGCCATGGCTCAATGTGATGGGATCATGGGAGTTGTAGTTTGGCAAGGTCTTCTTTGTATTGTCGAAGGCTTTCATGGCTGGAATCACTGGGTTGTTGTAGGTTTTTTCGGGCTATATGGCCATGGTCTAGAGCAGTGTTTCTCAACCTGGGGGTTGGGACTCCTGGGGGGGTCGCGAGGGGGTGTCAGAGGGGTCGCCAAACTCTATCAGGATAAACAGTATTTTCTGCTGGTCATGGGAGTTCTGTGTGGGAAATCTGGCCCAATTCTATCATTGGTGGGGTTCAGAATGCTCTCTGATGGTAGGTGAACTATAAATCCCAGCAAACACAACTCCCAAATATCAAGGTCTATTATCCCCAAACTCCACCAGTGTTCACATTTGAGCATATTGAGTATTTGCGCCAAGTTTAGTCCAGATCTCTCATTGTTTGAGTCCACAGTGCTTTCTGGAGATAGTTGAACTACAACTCCCAAACTCAAGGCCAATGCTCACCTAACCCTTTCATTATTTTGTGCTGGTCATGGGCATTCTGTGTGCCAAGTTTGGGTCAATTCCATCTCTGGTGGAGATCAGAATGCTCTTTGATTGTAGGTGAACTATAAATCCCAGCAAGTACAACTCCCAATGTCCAGAGATCGAAAATACATCCTACCTAACAGATATTTACATGACAATTCAAAACAGTAGCAAAATTCCAGTTATGAAGTAGCAACGAAAATAATTTTAGGGTTGGGGGTCACCACAACATGAGGAACTGTATTAAGGGGTCGCGGCGTTAGGAAGGTTGAGAACCACTGGTCTAGAGGTATGGCCATATAGCCCGAAAAAAACCTACAACAACCCAAGGTCTTCTCTGCCGCATCAAATCACAAACCCCAGGATTCCATAGCATTGAACCTTAAATGGTCTCAAACAGCATTAGTTCTACAGTGTAGTTGCACCTCCTGTGGTTGATGGAATCAGAATATTTGCAAGACCAAGAATGGACATCACTTTGGATTACGTTTGGATTCCTTTTCCCATAGATTGTTTCCCGTGGGATTGTTGTTGTTGTTGGTTTTGCAAAGTGGAGAAAATAAAATGGGAGAGAGCCAAGAGATTTTCTCTCCCTTCCTTCTCCCTCCCCATCCATTCTTCCTTTTGTGTTGCATCCTATTTCAATTGACTCATCTCTGATCTTTGGAAGCTGCTCCAAGGACCTTTCTTTGGTTGGGCGGAAAAGAGGCAAAGCATACATTTTGATAAAGTAATGTGTATAATGTGTATGTGCATCGGGATTGTGGCGCAGCTGGCTGAGTGTCAGCTGCATTAAGATCACTCTGACCAAAAGGTCATGAGTTCGAAGACAGCCCGGGTTGGAGTGGGTTTCCAATCAATTGTGTAGCCTGTTGTTGACCTTTGCAACCCGAAAGACAGTTGCATCTGTCAAGTAGGAAAATTAGGGACCACCTTAAAGTGTGGGGATGCTAAATTAACTAATTTATGAGGCCATAAAGAAGACTCCAGCAAAGCATTCCAGCGGGGAAGCATGCGGGGAATGCGGAAGTGCTTCATCAGTGATGAAAGCGACAGCTCCCCTGGCGGCCAGAAAAAGTTAAATAGCCTCTGTGTATGTCTGTATATGTTTGTCAAAAATCGGCATTGAATGTTTGCCATATATGTGTACACTGTAATCCGCCCTGAGTCCCCTGAGGGGTGAGAAGGGCGGGATATAAAAGCTGTAAATAAATAAACAAATAAATATATTTTGGAGATGCAAAAGACCTGCACTTCCGGATCGAAAGAGAAGAGGTTCTGCCTCCCGTCGTTTCGGCTGAGCTTGTTCAGCTGCTCCGTTTCTCTTCCGTACTGAAATGGAAACAAGCATTGGCTTCAGTGGAAGGTCAAAGCAAGCAAAGTCCCTGATATTAGCAAAACCCTTGCCTTCAGGAGGGCGAAAGGAGCCACAATCTTGCAAAAAATTAGTCTTAGTCTCCATGGTGGTTCATAGAGGGAGATGCATTTGGGCAGGTAGATTTTATTTATTTATTTATTTATTTTGTTGTGTCAGGAGCAACTTGAGAAACTTGAGAATTGGCTGTCTGCAAGGACGTTGCCCAGGGGACGCCCGGATGATTTGATGTTTTTATCATCCTTGTGGGAGGCTTCTCTCATGTCCCCGCATAAGGAGCTAGAGCTGATAGAGGGAGCTCATCCGCCTCTCCCCGGATTCAAACCTGCGACCTGTCGGTCTTCAGTCCTGCCAGCATAGGGGTTTAACTCACTGCGCCACTGGGGGCAAGTAGATTGTTCCAGGGCCATTTAGGGCTTTATAGGCCAGAGCCAGAACTTTGAATTGTGCTCGGTAGCAAACTGGTAACCAGTGGAGCTGATGCAACATGGGAATTGTGTGCTCCCTGTATGCCACTCCAATTATTAACTTTACTGTATTTCGTTGGACTATTTGAAGCTTCCAAACAGTCTTCAAAGGCAGCCCCACATAGAACACATTACAGTAGTCTAGTCTAGATGTAACAAGAGCATGGACCAAGGCTGACTTCCCAATGTACGGGCGCAACTGGTGCACAAGTTTTAATGGTGCAAAAGCACCCCTAGCCACTGCCGCCCTTGGATCATATCAACCATAATCCCCTAGCCAACACAGCCAGTGTGATCGGTTGGGGATGCAAAGGAGTAACCTTTTAATGATTGGACTGGACTGTTTTTGTGTATTTTGTCTCTTTCCTGGATTACCACAAAAAGCTTTTCTTTCAAAATCTAGAGATGGAAATGGCAAGACAATGGCCTTCAATAAATTGAAAATTCCAAAAAATCTTCCAAAATTAAAACTGCTGGGTCTGTACATTAGGAGCTCGGTGTTTTCCATATGGCCAAGATTACCTTCACTTGGAAACGGAAACGTTTTGATTGGGATGGGATGCAGGCCAGAGAAAACAAAGAAACTGGCCGTTTCCAAACTGAAAACGGGCAAAACATTTTCCAAAGTGGCAAAATAAATCCCTCCAAAATTAAAATGTCTGCTCCCTACTTCCCATATTGCCAAGATGTCTTGGAAAAGGAAAGTTTTCCATTGAGACTTGAGCCTGGGGAGAGAGAAACAGGAGCAATCTGCTTGTTTCTTTGAACCTGGATGGATTTGTACAGGAATTGTTTGGCTGAACGGTCCAAAGGGGAGGGGAAAGGCATAGGGCCAAATTTTTGTCCTCCCGTCTTTTTCCCACCAGTTCTGACAGAGGAATTGGATGCCAAATCTACCTTCATGAGCTCCGGATGCATGCTCCGCTCCAAGCTCTCCAGGATGTTCTCCGACTTTCCTTGGCTGGTGGAGTCATCCTCTGCAAAGACACAAAAAGCAGATGCAGGAAAGGGCTCTGTTTCCAAACGCAGCAATGCTGGAAACTTGGATGGGAAAAGATGGCACCCGACCAAGAGTTTCCCATTCAAAGAGCAGGAGTCACATTCCTGCCTCTCCTTATCCCACACGCCCTGGAGACTAGGACTTGGAGAAATGGGTTCCAATGACAGGAAAGGAGATTCCACCTGAACATTAGAAAGACTGTATGAATCATAGAATCAAAGAGTTGGAAGAGACATCCTGGGTCATCCAGTCCAACCCCCCTGCCAAGAAGCAGGAATATTGCATTCAAATCACCCCTGACAGATGGCCATCCAGCCTCTGTTTAAAAGCTTCCAAAGAAGGAGCCTCCACCACACTCCGGAGCAGAGAGTTCCACTGCTGAACAGCTCTCACAATCAGGAAGTTCTTCCTCATGTTCAGATGGAATCTCCTCTCTTGTAGTTTGAAGCCATTGTTCCGCGTCCTAGTCTCCAAGAAGCAGAAAACAAGCTTGCTCCCTCCTCCCTGTGCCTTTCACTCACATATTTATACATGGCTATCATATCTCCTCTCAGCCTTCTCTTCTTCAGGCTAAATATGCCCAGCTCCTTAAGCCGCTCCTCATAGGGCTTGTTCTCCAGATCCTTGATCATTTTAGTTGCCCTCCTCTAAACACATTCCAGCTTGTCTATATCTCTCTTCAATTGTGGTGCCCAGAATTGGACACAATATTCCAGGCGGGGTCTAACCAAAGCAGAATAGAGGGGTAGCATGACTTCCCTGGACCTAGACACTATGCTCCTATTGATGCAAGCCAAAATCCCATTGGCTTTTTTTGCTGCCACATCACATTGTTGACTCATGTTTAACTTGTTGTCCACGAAGACTCCAAGGTCTTTTTCATACGTACTGCTCTCGAACCAGGGATTGTCCCCTATTCTGTATCTTTGCATTTCGTTTTTCCTGCCAAAGTGGAGTATCTTGCATTTGTCACTGTTGAACTTCATTTTGTTAGTTTTGGCCCATCTCTCTAATCTGTCAAGATCGTTTTGAATTCCGCTCCTGTCCTCTGTTCAACAGTGGAACTCTCTGCCTTGGAGTGTGGTGGAAGCTCCCTCCTTGGAAACTTTTAAACACAGACTGGATGGTCATCTGTCAGGGATACTTTGATTGTGCTTTTCCATAGAAGGACCATGTGGTCTCTTCCAACTCTATTATTCTATATTTCTATATACAGGCAGTCTCCAAGTTATGAACAAGAGAGGTTATGTAGGTTTGTTGTAAGTCGGAACAGGTACATTATTTTAAATGTAATTCCAGCCAAATTGATAGATAGCTACATAGATGGATAGTTTTGGATCACATACGGAAGGGCAATACCTTGTTTGATATGTTTTGTTGTCTGTGTCTCTGTTTCACCTCACTTTCTGTCCCTGTGAGAATTGGATTTTGGAAAATTTGGTTTGTTGTGGAAACAAGGATTGGCAATAAAGCTTCTGTGGAGACACCCTTTCCCAAGATAACTCTTCCAGGAGTGGATTTCCCTTCCTTGGACTCACTTCTTGTGGTCTCACCCCTTTCTTAACTAAACCTATCTTGTTTATAACTTGGGGACTGTCTGTATATGTATGTGATCGTGTGTGTGTGTGTATATATATATATATACACACACACACACACACACATATATACATATACGGTCACATACATATATGACTTGTGCGTTTGATGCAGAAATACTCTTCTTTTGGATCTTATATCGGATCTAGATCGGATGTTTAGCACTTTTGAAGCTAGTTGACACGCCTGCTTGCTGCCTCCCCAATATTAAGAATTTGAATCAAAAGGAGCCTTCGATTCTTAAGCCTCGGATGTGTTCGGATGTAGCTGTTACAGAGCTAAAATCCACAGGGCAACCAAGCCCTGCTGAGAGGCGAAGCCAAACATATTGACATGCCTCTCCAACCAATCAAAGCTGACAGAGGAGAAAGCGGGAGGCAGAAGAGGAGACTGTTAAAAAATGTTGTTTTAAAAACTTTGAAAATTACCAAAAAATCCGTGGATGAGTGAAACGTTATGAAACTTGATAGGTAAAGAGTGGAAAATGGGTTCTACCATTGTATCAAGTTTCTCACCAATAGCTTTAAAAATGAGGGAGATAGGAGCCCATAAAGTTTCCCCATTTATAGTAATTTAAGCCATATGTCTGCACAAAACTACATTTTCCAGAATGCATTGGGCTACAGCATTAGAGTCAATATAAAATTCACAGGCAACCAAGCCCTGCTGAGAGGCGAAGCCAAACCTCTTTGCATGCCTCTCAGCCAATCAGGGAAGGAGAGGGAGGTCAAGATCGCGCTTGTAGTTTTAAAAATTTTTTTATTAAAACTTTGAAAATTTGCCAAAACTCCGTGGATATGTCAAACGTTCTGAAATTTGGTCAGCCAACAGTGATAAATGTGTCCTACCACTGTAGTAAGTTTCATCAGAATAGCTCAAAAATGAGGGAGAGAGAAGCCCCACAAGTTTCCTCACTGACAATAATGTTTTCCTTAACGCACATGCGTGGCTGCCATTAACAAGGTACTTACGAAGATTCGGAAGTTTTGTAAAGTTTTCACATTTTTACCCCCCAAATTTGGAAAGGACTTTAGAAACAAACGCCAGTGCCCCCTACTTTTTGAACACAGTTTAGAAGCATTTTTTATGGCACATGTCTAATATACACCATTTTCTAATATACACCTGACACCATTTTCTAAGCCAGTTATTTTCTAAGCCAGAAGTGATGAGCGGAGTGCCATCAGCAGGGTTCCGTCCTGGGCCCGATCCTGTTCAACATCTTTATTAATGACTTAGATGAAGGGTTAGAAGGCAGGATCATCAAGTTTGCAGACGACACCAAATTGGGAGGGAGAGCCAATACTCCAGAGGACAGGAGCAGGATTCAAAACGATCTTGACAGATTAGAGAGATGATGGGCCAAAATTAACAAAATGAAGTTCAACAGTGACAAATGCAAGATACTCCACTTTGGCAGGAAAAACGAAATGCAAAGATACAGAATGGGGGACAATGCCTGGCTCGAGAGCAGTACGTGTGAAAAAGATCTTGGAGTCCTCGTGGACAACAAGTAAAACATGAGCCAACAATGTGATGTGGCGGCAAAAAAAGCCAATGGGATTTTGGCCTGCATCAATAGGAGCATAGTGTCTAGATCTAAGGGAAGTCATGCTACCCCTCTATTCCGCTTTGGTTAGACCACACCTGGAATATTGTGTTCAATTCTGGGCACCACAATTCAAGAGAGAGATATTGACAAGCTGGAATGTGTCCAGAGGAGGGCGACTAAAATGATCAAGGGTCTGGAGAACAAGCCCTATGAGGAGCGGCTTAAGGAGCTGGGCATGTTTAGCCTGAAGAAGAGAAGGCTGAGAGGGGTATGATAGCCATGTATAAATATATGAGAGGAAGTCACAGGGAGGAGGGAGCAAGCTTGTTTTCTGCTTCCCTGGAGACTAGGACGCGGAACAATGGCTTGAAACTACAAGAAAGGAGATTCCATCTGAACATGAGGAAGAACTTCCTGACTGTGAGAGCCGTTCAGCAGTGGAACTCTCTGCCCCGGAGTGTGGTGGAGGCTCCTTCTTTGGAAGCTTTTAAACAGAGGCTGGATGGCCATCTGTCAGGGGTGCTTTGAATGCAATTTTCCTGCTTCTTGGCAGGGGGTTGGACTGGATGGCCCATGAGGTCTCTTCCAACTCTTTGATTCTATGATTCTATATATAGAGGGGGGGGGTGCACTGCGATGCACCATAATGTAGCAGGAGGGCCATATATTGCCTGTTAGCCAAATCTCCCCCATCCCATTATGCTCCATGCCCCCAAAGGGA